CCACTCAAGAGAAGCTAGAGTCTTGACTTAGCCATAGAAAAGAATTTCAAGATGATCCAATAGGAAACACAGCTGAGATTTATTAGGAGAATATTTTAACATAGAGTTAAGCATGGGGATTGATATAAAGAGAAGTAATCAGGGAAAAAGTAAAACCCACTCATGTGTGGGTGGGCATTTTAAGGGTGAGTCCCATTTGAGTGTCTGAGTAGCACCCACAAACTCAATGTGGGTGTCTTTTAAGTTACTTATCAAAGGATTGCTAAGAATCCCCCTCTTTCTTGATAACTGAGATTAGAGATTGGCTTCAGGGGTGCCTTTGATGGGATTAAATCTGATAAGATAAAGCCATAGCCCTTAAGGGGCATCATGCATTTCTTTTAGTGTAAATGGGGTTTGTGAGGCTCCTGGAAAATTGAAGCCAGGGAAGGATAGGAGCCTTCAGCATGAATCCTTGCTATTTTAACTCCCTTATTTACAACATCTCTCCATAAAAACAACATTGCTCCATGGCAAATGATGTAATCTGTGCTGGTGATGGTTACTTCTCAACAAGCAAGAAGTTTTAAGCAGACTTCAGGGAGAGGGACTGCTTTCCCTCACCACATCCACTGAATTATCCATATCTTTCTGCCCTGCCTCAGGATGACTATTTTATTGATGTCTCAACACAGAAACATCCCCTCTGCCTTTGAGCAGCCTAGAGTCTTTGTGGTGTGGGGGAAAAAGAGAAAACTTGCAAACTGGTCCGTCCAGTCAGGGCACTTAAGTGACTTAAAGGATATTAGTTGAACCAAGTGAGGAAGTAGAGAAAGCTGGAGGGCTTTTGAGGCATTTTTTTTCCTTCAGCTAATGCCTCTGTCTGGGGAGGGCTGTAAATAGTGCCTTTTGTCTGCGTGTCGTTTAGAAGAGGGGCCAGTATGATTTGGAGGAGAGGGCTCTGCACAGGAAATGGAGACCCCGGATTCCACCTGGGTTTGCACCTGGATTTCCCTTCACTTCCCAAGCCTGATTCCTTCCTGTTTCCTGATGGCCTGCTCCCCACCTAGTCTCCACTCTGACACTTGCTTGTTGACTAAGAAACAAATATTTGTTGTCCGTTAGCGTGAGAATTGCCCTGGGGATTCCTGTGTGGTCCACGTGGTCACAGATATGTTGTATTAGGTGTGGGAAGACCTGGATTTTATTTCTCTCATTGGAGAGAGCTAGGGAGACTACTGACCGTGGCTTGTGATCCTTTGGAAAGGGGACAGGGTAGTTTCCAGCTTCTCTGAGGACATGGCACAGTAGCAGGGACGCCAGTGACTAGCATTTACAAAAGGAACACAGGCTCATCGTTTGTTTGTGCATTCCACTGACCACCTAGATGGCTAAGAGAGAAAAAGGCAAAGGAAGCTGTGACAGTGTGTGGTGTGTGTGTGTGTGTGTGTGTGTGTGTGTGTGTGTGTGTGTGTCTGAGATACCTACCGGTAGTCGAAGAAGTTACTAGAAAATTTCAAAGGAAGAAAATAAATCTGAAACAGCCAGTTGGTGAGAAGAAGAGTTCAAAGTGTGAAATAAAGCATTCTGTTTTAGAACGGGGTGGAGAGGGACAGAGGACAGATGAAGCCCCCAGGGACCATTTGGGAATCTGTGGAGCTGGCAAGAAGAGGGATGGCAGAGAGTGCTGTATGTGTGATTTGTCTTTGATGAGAATTCTGGCTGGTGCCAGGGACTAGGCAGAAAGTGTCAAAATTAAAGATGGAAGTTTCTGGTAGCATTGCCTGAACTAGAAGTGGGGGGGGGGGGGGGCAAGGGGCACACCGCTGATGCATGTCTTGGATGGCGGGATTTTGCTTTTTTCAGTTTGTATGCATTTGTGTGTTCCTGTGTGAGTGGACACATATATACACACACGTATATGTACATGCGTGTGAGGGCAGAGGACAACCTCAGGTGGCCTTCTTCAGGAGTCATCATCTTGTTTCTTGAGACAGGGTATGCCACTGGCCTGGAACTCACTAAGCAGGCTGGCCAATGAATCCTAGGGATCCTCCTGTCTCTGCTTCTCCAGCACCGGGATTCCAGGGGTGTGCTGCCATGCCTACTGATTGCGGAGGAGAATTCTGGGGCTCAAACTCAGGTCTTTGTGCTTACATGGCCACCGCTTTAATGACTGAGTTATCTCCCCAGCCCAATATCGCTTTTTAATATGATCGATCCTCTTCTCTCACAATCTCCATGAGGACACGAATGTAATGTCCTTTCTATTTACTGTGTGTTCCTTTCGTACATGCCAGTGCCTAGAAAGGATCAGGACTTAGGTGCCCAATGTGCCTGGTGAATGAAGCCATTTTTTTTTCTTTTTGGCCCCCATGATCTAAATATGTCAATACCCATAAGACACTTTCTCAGAAATCAGCAGACTTTTGAGGGGGCAGAAAAAACCAAGACCAAATAATATATTCTGGGGCTTCTTTTAGGGAACTCGGGTAGGGTTAAACTCTGATACCCGTCATCCACTCTGCCCCAGTGCATCCTAGAGCCTGGGAGAGGTGCTGACTTCGTATTCCTGTGTAAGCTGCCTTTGATCCAACACAGCCACATTCCCAGACAGCTAACCACATGCTTTGAAATCCCCCTGCACTGTTGTATGGCGTGTCCTGCCTATTGTGTGGCACATGGCAGATGCTCAATGAGCATGTGTTGGTTCAGTGAGTCATTGTTATCAGCATCTGAATTGCTGCAGCCTAAAAGATTCAAAGGACTTCTGCCATGCTTGTTCTGCCTCTCCTTGTAAGGTGGTCAAGGCAGGTCAAAATCTCCCTCATTGCACGTGAAGGAAAGGCCTCAAACATGGCTTCATAACTTGTTTGTACATTCCATTAATCACCTGATGGTTAAAAAAAAAAAAAAAAGACAGAGGTACCAGTGACATAGTGTGCATGTGTCTGAGATTCCTGCTGGTGCTAATGAGCAGCACATCTGAAGGCCTCAATCAGTGCTTCCTAAACTCTAGTGGGCATGCGTATTCAGAACTCAGGATGTGCTCATAGTAGACGAAGTCCTGAGTAAATGTATTGTTGACATGGACAAGGCCATGTCAAAGACTCAGTACCTCAGACCCGTAGGAATGGCAAAGGGATCCCTGAACAGGTCAGACTTGGATTTGCCAAAGCCTTTCTCTGGTCTAAGTACAAGTGTTGACTGTGTGTGTGTCAGTATGAGTGTTTACAAATGACTGAGCAGTGTGTGCAAAACTTAGCAACTAAACCTTCCTCCTCAAAGCTGACTGCAGCTTGAGACTGCTCTCCTGTAGACCCTCTACTGAGACTAGCTAACCCCTCTGTCTTTGCTGTACTTAATAAAAGGTCTGAGGCTCTGGGTTGTTGCATAGTTGGTAATCGTCCATCAGAACTTTTCTGTACCTGTGTCTCTAAGTCTGTCCTCTGTTCGTTCCTTCACTACCACAGGCCTGTTTCTCAGACCTCATCATGAAGGATGCAGTGCATTCGAATCATCTGGTGGTCTTAATAAGAAATACAAATCCAGATTCAAATGACCTGGGGAGAGACCATAAGACTTGTCTCTACTCACAAGCTCAAGAGCAAAACTGAAGCTACTAGTTCATTTCCCACAGTTCCCACAGGAGGCCTGGGTACCCTGGCTGTGAACCTTGTGCTGCAAGCCAAGGGCAAGTCATGGCCACCTGTTTGGTACAACAGTACATCATGGATTATGTCAGGAGCTTGGAAGATGTAATTGTGACTGTGGGGTTATCAGTGAGTGTCCTTTCTTCATTTCACAAACACATCTCTTTATGATAATACAACTCATTGGAGTGACTACATCTCCACTTAGAGAGGCCATTGCATGTTCCTTCCTCAGCCATCCTCGCAAGTCCTTCCACAACTTTAGCACTTACAACATCAGTATGGGAGGCCTTGTTCTTACTACACAAGCCATGAACTGTTTTTCTATTCACCACTCCATCTAGGTTTCATCAGGGTCTATCAGTCGAAGCCATTTAAGCAGGACACCCCTTAGCTCAGTCGTTCAAAAACACTTATTAACATTGTCAGTCTAGGGCCTGGGGAGATGGCTCAGTGGATAAGAGTGCTTGCTCTAGAAGCGTGAAGGCCTAAGTTCAAAGCCCAGCACCCATATGAAAATCTGGATAAGGCTTTATGTACCTGCAATCTCAGCACTGTAGAGGTGCAGACAGGAGGATTGCTGGGGCTTACTGGCTGCAAGCCTTGCTCCAGGTTCAGTAAGAGACCCTATCTCAAGGGAATAAAGCAGAGTAATAGAGCAGGATGCCCAACATCCTCCTCCTCATTGGCTTTCAGATACATACATGGAGCATACACACATAAACACACACAAATACATACATGCACAAGCATGTACACAAATATATTAATTAAAACATAAAATATTGGCAGCCTAGTCAGATAGCCTAGGGGTCCATGATGTATTTAGCATGTGTAGGGCCCTGGGTTTGATCCCTCTACTACTATAAATACCTATGGGATACCTATGGTTAATGTTGGTTTAGGAAATAGAGTGCCAGCCACTTAGTCTTTTATTGCCCCCTTTGTAAAACTGGAGTTATAATAGCAGCATGTGATGACACAGATAAAAATGACACGACAGAGCCAGTAAGATGGTTCAGCAGGCACAGGTGCTTGACACCAAGTCTGATGATATGACAGAAGGAGAGAATGGCCTACTATAAATTGTCCTCTGACCTCCACATAGAGGAATGCACGGATCACGTACACACACACACACACACACACACACACACACACACACACACACACACATACACATACACACACACACAGTGTGTGTATGTGTATGTGTGTGTGTGTGTAATTTTAAAAAGGCAAACAGATATCAAGCATTTTGCACAGTGCCCCTTCACAGGAAGTAATCCATGCAAAGATGCCAAGAATCAACCCAGAAAAAGACAACGCATGGAGTCATGAGTGTGCTCTTGTGTTTGGCTTTTTTAGTCAGGTCTGATAAGGACACGAGACAATGAATTCCTCATCTCACCGCTACCTCAGCTGCTGGCCCAGGAACACAACTACAGCTCGCCTGCAGGCCACCATCCTCACGTCCTGTACAAAAGGACAGCAGAGAAGAGGGTCCAGCGGTACCAAGACTACCCTGGCTCCCACCGGATTTATCCTGGTCACTCCCCAAGTCACACTCCCCCTGCCTCCCAGAGCCAAGAGACAGAGTACCGCCATCGAAGGTGGCAAAGGCAGCATTTCTGTGGACGACGCAAGAAATGTATGTAAGGAGACTTTCCTTGTCTGTTCTGAAGAGGTCCTCGATGGGTAGTCCTGGGGGCCGCTGGGTTCACTAACGTGGCAGGTCAGTGAGGCTGCACTGAATTTGTTCTCAGATGCTGCCTTATAGAAGAACTGGTGAAATCTCATGCTGAAGGAACGGCTCTCCTAGGTTCAACTAGGAAAGATGCAGATGCGGGCCCTTTTTGGCTTTTTTAGCATCTCCCAGTTTTAACCAAAGGTTATCTTAGTTTCTGTGGTCTTAGGGAGAGTACCCAGCTTTCTATAGTGAGAAACAAGAATCAGAGAAAAATGCCTTGACTGAGCATTCCTTCTAGAGACACAGAGACTTCTCAGGAAACCTCCAGGAATGTCAGCTCCTTCTGAAGGGGAGCTGACAGAGAGCAGGGGAACTCTCAGGCATGCCCTATGAGCCAGTAGTAGATACCTATAATACCAGCACTTGGAAGGCTGAAGCAGGAGAATTATGAGGTCAAACCTAGCTTGACATGTGTAATGAGCCCCTTTTTTTGACAAAAACCATTCTGTTTCCCCCTCCCCCAGTTCTGGGGTCAAGCTCAGGGCCTTACCTATAGGCAGCAAAACTCTGAACCAGCCAAGCTGTATTTCCAGTCTCTTTTGTTCTTTTCTAGACCAGCAATGTCCAGTAGATAAGAACCAAATGTAAGTTTGCATTTCCTAACAACTATGTTCAAAACCAGTTCAAGGCAAACATAGTGATGTATACTTGTAATTCCAGCACTCGGGAGCTGAAGGCAAGAGAATCAGGAGTTCAAAGCCATCCTTGGCTATATAGAGATTTAAGTCCACTCTGGGCTACATGAGATTCTGTCATTAAAAACAAAATCAAAAGTAAGAGCTGAAGAGATGGCTCAATGTAATGAGGCACTTGCTGCACAGGCATGAGAGGCAGGATTCGGATCCCCAGCACCCATGTGAATGCCAGGTTCCCCTCCCCCACTAATACCCTGTAATCTTTGCACATTAGGAAGGTGGAAACAGGATCTACTGGACAAACTGCAACTAGACTGGCTGAATTGACAAGCTCTGGGTGCAGCTGAGAGACCCTGCCTCAAAGATAGAGATTGGTGGAGGAAGACATCCATTGTCAACCTCTGACCTCACACACACACACACACACACACACACACACACACAGCACACAAAAACACCACATACTCACTCATACATCTGTTAACAAAACTCCCAAATCATAAAAGTTTAAAAACAAATTACTTTCAGTAGCATTCTTATCTAACTCAGAACATACAAAATATTGTCATCTCAAATTATAAACGATGTAGCAAACTTCTAGGGAAAAATTGAATTTTCTCTTTCCTATTGTATTCTGGAAATGTACTTAATTTACTCTTATGACTCAGTGTTGATTCTAATAAACAAATTTCCATTGGAAATGTTTAATCTGCGTGTAGATCTCATAAGACTCAATGCTGAAAAGGTAGATTTTAGATACTTCATTGTTTCGAAGATGTTTGTATTTTCCAGGGGCCAAGTTAAATATCTTACCCTTTTTTATTTGATAAAATACCTGATCTTCGTGTTTGCCAGCCACATTCCACTAACTTGGTAGCCACAGACGGCAACCAGGTCCCACACTACTCAGCACAGACAGGTGAGGGTTCCTCACACAAATTGGAGCTGTCAGAGTTGGATATAAGATAGTGTTTCTGCCATCTCCCTTGGCTGTTGGCATTACAGAGTCAATGTATTCCCAAAGTGATTTTTTTTTCTCTTTCCATCACTGACATTTGTTGACCTGCTTGTCTGCCAACTAGAATTGTAGCTTGTTTTCTTTAACTTACCTCTGAGCATTTTTAACATTTCTGGATCTACCCGTCTGTCCACCTGTCCATCAGCTCACCCATCCATGCATCTAAGCATCTGTTGAACGAATCTCAGGTGCAAAGCCCCAGGGCATGTGGCAACCGAGATGCCCAGTGTCACCTCCCCGCTGTCTTGGCTCTTTCGGCCTACGTCATCCAGAATTCTTCTGATGATCTTCCTTCCAAATGCTCTTCTGTCTACTGCAGATGCCCCCAAGCCTCCTGCAGAGGACACCTATCTATGCTTTGATGAATATGGGGGCACAGGGCGGCCCAGAAGATCAGCTGGAAAGTCACAAAAGGGTCTCAATGTAGAAACCCTCGTGGTGGCAGATGCAAAGATGGTGGAAAAACACGGCAAGGGTGATGTTACCACGTACATTCTCACAGTCATGAATATGGTAAGGAGCATCATCAAGAACCCTTGTGTGGGTGGAATGGCACACACTTAACCACAATTTTTTTAATTGTAAAATTGGAATGTTAAGAAAATCACTCTTGTAGATCCATGTATGTATCTGATAAAATCGAAGCGACACCCTTATCAATTTGTCTGATTGATTCTTTCCATGCAGGATTGTGTCTTTAAAAGATGCTATGTGGCTTTAATTGTCCCAACAGGTTTCTAGCTTGTTCAAAGATGGGACCATTGGAAGTGATATAAATATTGTGGTTGTGAGCCTAATCCTTTTGGAGCAAGAACCTGTAAGTGGCAAACTTCATTTATTCATTTGTTCTGCGGTAGAGGATGCATTTATTAAATACCTACTGTATACCAATGCATGAATCTCATATTTGAAAGTCTGCTAACCATCTCGTCAGGGCAAGGGCATTCTAATAAGGGTCACTGAGCTAAGTTACCACAAAACAATCCTTTATATACCAATCTAGATAATATATTCATAGATGTATCAACAGTTATATGTAAATATTAAATACATATATAACATTGTCAATATACAAAATGTAAATACTCGGTATAAATATGTAGTCCTTATGATAAAGGTGAATTTGGTCGTAGCTTTTTAGGGTTAGAAGGACTTCATAGGTCAAATACACTAACTAATACTAAGGTGGGCACATAAGTATATTTTGAGAATTTACCAGACAGAATCCATCATCAAATTCTTGTAGTAAGTCTATGGTCTCCCAAGCACCAATTTAGAAACAACAAAGAATAAACAAAGGGCCTTCAGCTGCCTTGAGTTGATTACGGTGAGGTGCATGACAGAGGAATTGGGGAAAGTGCAAAAAAAGAACATATCATAATGTGCTCAGTTGCACAGTACTCCCTGCTCTGCAGGGTTCTCATCTGTGAGCTCTATTTTCCTTTATGATCTCACCAATCAGACAGACAATTTTTCAAAGCCCCTGGGGCTTTTCCTCTTCAACTCTAACCCCAATAAAGAATGTGAAAAAAGAGAGCCAGAGACAAGGAAAGGAAAATGGATCTAATTACCCAGGTGTGTAGAGTTACAAAGGTTTGTGCTGTGTGAAGTTATCCTGGAATTTTAGAAAGATAGGGTGTGTGTTGTTTGGGAAACACTTGGACTGGTGTGCTAGTCACACACTGCTCAAGGATACTGAAGCCAGCAGCACCCTGATTCACTGACAGAATTATCATCTAAACATTTGACTTGACCTAAGTCATTGGTTTAGCCTAAACAAACCATTTTGATAAATGGTTATTTTAAGAATAGTTTCTGCCTTTCTTCTTCTTCTTATTTTTGTTTTTTTTTGGTTTTTTCGAGACAGGGTTTCTCTGTGTAGCTTTGCGCCTCTCCTGGCACTCACTTGGTAGCCCAGGCTGGCCTCGAACTCACAGAGATCCGCCTGGCTCTGCCTCCCGAGTGCTGGGATTAAAGACGTGAGCCACCACCACCCGGCCCTTTCTTCTTCTTTTATTTAATGTGTGGGTGTTTTGCTTGCATGTATATATCTGCATCATGGCACGAATGTACTGGTACCCACAGAGGCCAGGAAAGTGTGTTGGATCCTGCAGAATTGGGGTTATAGACAGTTGTGAGTCATGCCATGATAGGAATTGAACATGGGTCCTCTGGAAAAGCAGCCAGAGCTCCTAACATCTGAGCCATCTCTCCAGGCCTAATCTCTAGTAAATGGTTCTCCATTCAGTAAACTCACATTGTGTTATTGATTACTTGTAGCCTCTTAAGTACCAAACTTCACAGAGAAGTAAACTATGGATGCTATCTTTGTTATGCTTTATTGAAGAAATTATTGAACTTCCATATGAATAAATTTATCAAGATCAAAAATGCTTTTGATTCTAAAAATGTAGTTAGGTAGAAAGTGCATACTGAAAATTCAAGTTTACTTTAAAATTTATATTAACCTAAACCAGATTTTTTTTTTGGTAGCTCTTGGCTCAGTGGCTTTCTTCTACCGATAATTTCCCCTAGAAAGATGGTGCTTCTGCATTTGCTGTCACAGCCACAATGATTCAACCTTCTTCACTCTGGCAAAATCATCACTCTCTAATCTCTGTACCTTTCTCATAGGGAGGATTGCTGATCAACCACCACGCAGACCAGTCTCTAAATAGCTTCTGCCAGTGGCAGTCTGCGCTCGTGGGAAAGAATGGCAAGAGGCATGACCACGCCATCCTCCTTACGGGATTTGACATTTGTTCCTGGAAGAATGAACCATGTGACACACTAGGTATGGTATGCTGAGATGGCTGTGACATTACTAGACACTATTTTCCCCATGAGACCACTGTTACATAAACACACAACTATTGCCTGAGGTCATCATGTGGCACCTGGATATATTTAAGTCTTTAAATTGTGGAATGCTTCCTTGTACCATGGTGAATGTGTCCTGATTTATTGAATTCATTGTGGTATGGAGAGTCTGTATATCAATCAATTGGTGATTTTTCTTTATTGCCCCAATTGATGACCAATGAAGTAAGAGAAGTCATTTGATTAAACACAGTTTAGGGCATTCTCTTAGCACCATGACCATGTAACTGCAAAGCTGAAGAAATACTGTTGAATGGCATCATACTTCACTGTGTCATTGGTTATCAGTGTCTTCTTTAGCAAGTTCTTTGACTTGGAAGGACTCTGTTCTCCCATTTTTGCACAAGACATTCAGCACAAGAACAGTATCTTTTACATGCTTGCTGTATTTCCAAGCTGATTCAGTTGCTTATAGCAGGAACTGGACCTTTGGTTTTGGATGAATTGGGTTATTTGGGTCAAAGTCTGCCAACTTTTGCTGTAGAGGGTCCTGTAGTAAATATACTATGCTCTGCAGAGTGGGAACTACTAACATCTGCTGTGTTAGTGGGAAACCAGTCACAGACAGGCATAAACCAATGAGTGAGGCTCTGTCTAATGAAGTTATACTAAGGAGACAACCGCAGACAAAAGCATAAACAAAGGCTTGAAAACAGCAAACATGCCACCAGGAATCAATCCCTGATCTGCTCCATAGGTCACTCTCTTTAAGAATCATGTTGTACAGGCTTAAACACTCACATATGCCTTGTGAATATCCAAGTCCAGGACTATGCTGCCTAAAGCAAATGATTCACCTTCCTGAGTCTCATATACCTAATTTAAAACTTATACACACACAAAGGGAAATATTACATATACAGTGCAATTTAGGGTATTGAGAAAACACCATATATCAGAAAACATAGACCTTACATGTCCAGATCTTAAATAGGTAAGACTGAGAGCAAGGCTGGAAATAGACAGCTAGACACCTAAAGATCAAGTCAGCTTCACTGACAGCCGCACAATAACCAAGTACCCCTCCCTTATCTAGCATCTCTGTGAACTCTTATCACCTAGCCTACGTGCTTGCTCCCTTACCTCTGTCATGTGGCATAACTAAAACATTAGTTAAGTAATGATGTTTCCATGACACATATGTGCCTGCATATTAGACTTCCTGGATGATCTCATGGCTTGACATGGAGGTGGGTGCAGCCAGTTCACAAGTATGTATTTAACTCTATATGGCTACCAACCCTTGTTCTAATGGTTGTTAGATCTCCAAGTTGGGAAGAAGAAATTCTTCTGCTATAAGGTTGATCAACATAGAACCAAGAAATGATGGGAATGATTGTGTAACTGTTCTTACAGGGAGGTAACTTTGGAGAATGGGACACTTGTCACATTGTGAATGTGAGAAAGTGAATTTGATCTGTACATGTTACCTGGGCATGCTTATGTTTTTTGCTTCAGAGAAAGATCAGAAAAGAATTGGAAAGTATATTCCACACTTAGACTGTAAGGCCACTCTTAAGTTAACATTATACATTGGTGTAACTGTCAGTATATTAAATTTCTCTGACTCTAATCATAAGCTTAGTCAAGTCATATAAATTTCTGTGACAATAAAAACATTCAATATTCTTCTGCAAAAACCTTAAATGTGTTAATCCATTAAACTGTATATGTATATACCAAATTACTGTTAATATTTAAAATTGATCTTTTAATAGGATTTGCCCCAATCAGTGGAATGTGCAGTAAGTACCGAAGCTGTACCATCAATGAAGACACAGGACTTGGCCTTGCCTTCACCATTGCTCATGAGTCAGGGCACAAGTGAGTGGCTTCCCAATTCACTACTTTCTATGGAAACTGGCTAAGTAATTCTTTGGCCTTCGGTCTTAGTTAGGTTTCTATTGCTGTGTAGAGACACCATGACCACAGCAACTTTTATAAAGGAAACATTTCGTTGTGGTAGCTTGCTTACAGTTCAGAGGTTCAGTCCATCATGGCACGGAGCATGGTGGCATGCAGGCAGATGTAGGGCTGGAGCTGAGTGCTTATATCTTGATTCAAAGGTGCCCGGAAGTCAACTGACTCACTGGGTGATATCCTGAGCATAAGAAACCTCAAAACCTACCCTCACAGTGACACACTTCCTCTAACAAGGCTATACCCACTCCAGCAAAGCCACACCTTTTTATAGTGCCACTCCCTACTGGATTATGGGGGCCAAATACATTCAAACTACCACACTTCCTCTAATGGTTATTATTGATCTAATCAAACACATAGAATTCATTTTGTATAAAGCTTCAAATTGTGGATTCCAAAATGGCTTGGGGATGAGGAGATGGCTCAGTTGCTAAACTTTTTGCCACACAAGCAAAAGGACATGTGTTTGATCCAAATAACACACACAAATTAAAAGCCAAGTATGATGGGGCATGCTTGTAATCCAAGTGTCTTAGTCACTGTTCTATTGCTGTGAAGATGCCACAGCCAACGCAACTATAAAGGAAAGTATTTAGTTGGGGGCTTGCTTACAGAGGCTAAGTCCATGATCACTATGGTAGGGAGCATGGTAGCAGGCAGACATGGCCCAGGAGCAGTAGCTGAGAGCTTAGATTCTGATAAGCAAGCTAAAGTCAGAGGGAGAACAAGACTGGGTTGTGGCCTTTTGAAATTTCAAAGCCCAGTGACAAACCTCCTCCAAAAGGCCACACCTCTTAATCCTTCCCAAATAGTTCCACAAATTGGGCACCAAACATTCAAATATATGAGCCCATGGGGGCATTTCTCATTCAAACTACCATACCCAGTAATATGGAGACATTTTCCTAACCCTAATGCTAACCCTAACCTTAACCCTAACCAGCATCTCCTTGGCAGTCACTGACTAGACATCCTAGCCTCCTTAGCAAATTCTAGGACAGTGATAGATATTGCCTCAAAGAAAAAAATAAAATAAAACAAATTTAAAAAAATGTGAACAGTGCCTGAAAACAGTGATACTGGAGGTTGTCTTCTGACCTCCTTCATATGTGCATACACACACACACACACACACACACACACACACACACACACACACACCAGTTCAGTAAGCACTAGTCATTGATGTCTGTCTTTTCATGTTATATATTACATCTTTTAAGATTTCAGGTTTGCACATGGGCTGCCCATTACTTCCCTGGTTCTCTTGACTTCTGGTGTTGATTTTCATTTGGGTTTTGCTTTGGTTAAGATACTTTAAGCTCATTCTGCTTTTTCCCTTTGTGTAGTGAGCACATTCACTGCCACTGAATCATATCCTTCCCCTCATTTTTAACTTTCATTATGTGGCAACAATCTCTCAGTACATTTCCCTGGCTGGCCTTGAACTTGTGACCTTCCTGCCTTAGCCTCCCAAGTAGTGGGATTCCAGGCCTATGCTACCCACCATCCAGAACCGCTCATTCTTCATACAAAACAAACTGATCATGGTAACATGTGAATCCACCTGCCTAGGGCAGTGATATACTGAATTCAGTTTTCAAACTACAGGCTATGAAAACTTTAAACAGTCTTGCTTATGAGTAAAAGTTATCTGAAACCAAAATCCAACATCTTGGTTGAGGAAAACAAGTCATAGTCTTTAGATAGGGTGGGAGAGAGGTATCTGGTAAGAGAAGAATGAACGTTGGGATTGGTGAGATAGCTTAGTAAGGCTTTTGCTGTGCAAGCTTGAAGATCTGAGTTCAATCCCCTAGGTGTGGGAGTGCATGCTGGTAATACTAGGGCCGAGGGAGGCAGAAGCGAGAAGATCGCTGAGGCTCTGTGACTGCCGAGGCCAGTTCTTGAGTTGTAGGCCACTGAGAGACTCCACCTCAAAAACCAAAGGTGACTAGCACCTGAGGAGCCATAACAGAGATGAACTTCTGGGTTTCACATGTATGTGCACACAAACGTGTGTGTGCCTATATGAACACACACAATGAAGAGATGTGAAATGCATTCTCAAGATGAGACCTTGGTATGTGGTCCTTTTGACATGAAACTGCTGAAGCAGATGGCTGCTGAGATTTGGGGAGGACTTTTGAAATGTGCAGGGGAAAAAAAAATATCTTCCAAAAGCCTACTAAATAAAAGTACTTTTGAAAATGTAAAAATTTGAAATTCAAAATTGAGTTCAAATTGAGTTTTCTTTTGCTCTAAAAAATTTCTAAGGAGGCTCTAGTTAAGCATCTCTCCCTCCTTGCACAATAGCTTTAATCTCTCTGTAACTCACTGGCTCTTCTGGAACTCTTGCTTTTGTTCAAGGGGCTTTAGCGTGTTTAAAAGAATGCCTCCCAACCAAACTCCCTCAGCTCCCTGCTTAGGCAGAAAGAGCTGAATTTGGCAAAGCTGAGAATACAAAAGTGCTTTTGCCAAGTGTCTTAAGATTGATAATTTTGCTTTTGTTAGCAGTCACCTGTAAATTCCAACAAGTTCACTGATAACCATTGGGTATACAGCCACCCTCCACTTGCTTGATAAGCTGGAAAGAATGATAGAAAAGAAATGGCTAGATTGTAGGCACAGCTCACAGCAACACCCTATCTATGGGCATAACAACCTCATTTGTTAGAGCCTGCCTTCAAAAGATAGCTATATAATATGATACTTCCCCCATAGAAACCATACCTGCTTATACAAATGTATTCTTTTTTTTTGTTTGTTTTTTGTTTTTTGTTTTTTGTTTTTTGAGACAGGGTTTCTCTGTGTAGCTTTGCGCCTTTCCTGGATCTCACTTTGTAGACCAGGCTGGCCTCGAACTCACAGAGATCCGCCTGCCTCTGCCTCCCGAGTGCTTGGATTAAAGGCGTGCGCCACCACTATTCTTAAGAGGCAGATTTTATTTCTTTAAATAATCAGATTGGGAACAATTTAAATTCATGATAAATTCATATAAACATCTCTTTCTGCCTTGCCTCTTCTGTAAGAAAGTCACAAAACATGCTTTGTTTCCCGAATCTTTTCCAAAGATGATCACAGAAGCGTACCGTACCTGTTTCTATGACCATTTGAGATGGCGTGTTTGTGCTGCATGCTAAGAGATGGCAGATTATCTAGGAAGAGTGTACATGATCGTCAGGGAATTGGAAAGAGGGCAAGAAAGTTACAGGCCGTTGTGAGCTCCCTCATGACAGGAGTGTGGAGAAACACACTTGAGTCCTCTGCAAGAGCAGCAAGCGTTCCTAAACACTTAGCTATCTTTCCAGCCCAACACACAATGCGTTTAAAAGAGATCATCACTGCTTATCTTCCTTCTGCAAAGGAATTGTTCTAATGTCGTAGAAAGAACGGTGTCCAGAAATTGTGAAGTCCTGTTTTCCTTCCATGTGTTCTGAACAGAGTTTTCATCATTCCCTTGTGAAGATCTTTATTTTTATGAGGGTATTCAATTATCAACTGAATTGATGAGTTTAGCTAATTGTCTGGTCATCACTGGAAGGAAGATTTATATCATGTTAGCTTTATAAATAAATATCAATGTAGGGCTTATAATTACCTTCAGTCTGTCTCTACCTCCTCCTCATTCTCAACTTCTGTGCCATAGCTCCAGGATTAGTGACAGGAAAATAAATCAGCTATTTTGAATTTTTAAAAGTTGGCTATCTAAGATTTAGGTTAGTTAAGAAATCTTTTAAACATTTATTATTTGTTTGTTTGTTTGTTATCGTGTGTGTGTGTGTGTGTGTGTGTGTGTGTGTGTGTGTGTGTGTGTGTTTTCTAGCAGTCAGTTCCTTCCTTCCATCATGTACATTCTAGGGATTGAACTCAAGCAGACAAGTTTGGCCTCAAGTGTTTTTAACTCCTGAGCCACCTTACTGACATAACCAAAGAAATCTTGATCAAGATTTCCTAGCCTTTTTGTATAGAGCACATACACCATTTTTTGATTTTGTAACTAATAACAATGTCTTTAGCATTCTTCAAGTTTTTCTGCAGAAAACTTGCAGTAGTTTATAGTAACTCATTCTTGTCACTGATTCTTTCCCCACCTGGCTCTGCTGAGTCTCCGTGCATTTTTCACATTTTTCTGGTGGTAACCCGGAAGATGAGTTCTCAGAAGGTGGTTTTCCTTTCTGTTTCAGCTTTGGCATGGTTCATGATGGCGAAGGCAACCCCTGTAGGAAGGCGGAAGGCAACATCATGTCACCCACACTGACTGGAAACAATGGGGTGTTTTCATGGTCTTCCTGCAGCCGACAGTATCTCAAGAAATTCCTCAGGTAAATGGATAAAATCCCAGGGGTTGTGCCCAGCTCCCATCTCAGTGTTCAGTAGGTGTGAAAACAGATGTTCAAGGCAGACCTGGTGGGATGGATTAGTCATTGTGACTATTTGGGAGGCTGAGATAGAATGATTGAAAGGTAGTGGTCTACCTGGACTACAGAGTAAGTTCAGGGCCAGCCTGAAAAATAAAAAGTAAAAAGGAAGCCTACAGATACCACTCATCAGTAGAGCGCTTGCCTAGCATACATGAAGCACCAGGTTTAACCTCTAGTACCAAACAATCAAATGAACCAAACATCAAATAATTCATGGGCATGTCTTTTGGTATCTCAATAAAGAGAAAGACTAAAAATTCCTATTATGATGACATTGATAATGATAATGATATGGTTGTTGAAAATCTACTGAAGACCTATTACTGTGCTAGATCTCCTCCACATGTTGCCTTCCTGAGCTGGTAAGATAGCCCAGTAGGTGAAGGCACCTGTGATCAAGCATGACTACTTGAACTCCAGCCTGGGGACCCCCAAGAGACCACGGATTCTGCAAGTTGTCCTCTGACCTGCACACTCACATTGTGACCTCCGAGTGCTTGCACGCATGTACATGCGTACACACAGGCACACACAAATAAATTTTAAATGTATTAAAAATTAAATATGTGTATCCTGTCCTCTGAGCAATCCTATTTCTATCTGCAGTCTAGAGTTGAAATTGAGTCTCTGAGGGGTAGCTGTGATGTTTAAAGTATGATAGCTGCAGAGTTGTAGGCATAAGATTCACACTTAGATCCATTCTGACCCCGAGATCTAAAATTCACAACTTATCTCTCTTTTTTTTTTTTAACTTCTAAGATTCCTGGATGTATAGCCTTTTTACTATGACTACTTACTTTAATCTAATCCACCAGTTTTTAGGACTTAGGAGAGCCCAGTATTTGATTTATATTTTAAAAATGAACCCAGGGCTGGAGACATGGCTCAGCAATTAATAGTGATTGCTACTCTCGCTGAGGACCTGAGTTTGGTTCTCGGCACCCATGTTGGATGGCTCACAAATACCTGTTGCTCCAGCTCTTGGGACCTGACATCTTTTTCTGACTCATGCAAGTACCCACACACAGAGACACACACACTTGAGTGAAAAATAATAGTAAGTCTTTATAAAAGAACTCAATGCTTAATGGCATGCATGTATCTATATCACTTTAGTCCATGTTACTCACATGGACACTTGGGTTCTGATTTCTCCCTTTGACCAGATATTAGTGAAGTTTCATTACAAATTGATGTTCCAGATATGTTCACACCTATGCTACAGTATATTAGTTGGAAATATTCACAGGATTATCAAGATACGTCAACAAGAAAGATTAAATGTGCGCATGTGTAGCTGACTGATGCCTAAAACATAGTAAAAAAAACCTGATAGATGTTTGCTAATTTATCATAAGCCATGCCCCCATATATTTTCATATTAATTTTAAATTCATTGTTTGGGGATTGACATTGCCCTTTCTACTTCTTGTAAGGAAGTAATCAATAAATACTATAAATTGAGACCTCCATGTGGATTGAATTTCCATCATGAAGTTGCTATAGTTCAGGGCTTTGGGTGGTAATGGTAGCTATAGAAGAATTGGCATTACCTTCTCTGCTATGGTAAGTACATTACATCTTCTTATTTGAGCCAAATAACAATCCTTATGGGAGTCATCATAATTAAAGAGGTTTATGAGAGTTATAAAAGTCATTATGGATGCATGGTTGATAGTACCTCCATGTCTGACTCCAAAGTTGCGTTTAATATCACATACTAACTAACCTCTTAATGGCAGCATAATTTGATTATATAAGTAAATGGGGATAAGGTGATTTTTTAAAAAATACCCATACCATGTTCTCAACACATCTCACTCAGGTATCCCTCAGGGAAGCTTTTATGCCTTATGCCCCTGATTCTAAAGTTCATTTTATGGGGTGGTTTTATTTTTACACAAGGCCTCCTGTGTGTGCCTAGGCTGGCGTTGAACATCTCACGTAGTAGAAGATGACTGTGAACTCCTGAGGCTCTTGCTTCTACTTCCTAAGTGCTAGGGTTCTTCTAGGCCTGAAACAGTACACCTAGAACCTCATGATTCTTTGGATATAACTTTGTTTATAAAGTTTATTTGCGACAAAGTACATCTTTATTTCTTCTTGATCCTATCTTTAAGAAGCACGGTATCATTTAAACCCCATGAGGACAGATATCCTCTGTACATGAGCCATTTTGTGCTTTAGTGTCTTAAGCTGATGCCTGCCCCACAGTAGGCTCTCAGTAAAAATGTCCAATGTTGTTGAATGGGACTGTAGAAGAGAGATTTTACTTATATTTACACTTCCTGTCTCCTACCCAATTCTAATGCACATTGGTTAGATGGCCAGAACTTCCAGCTCCCTATAAAACCCTTTATGACTGTATGCATTCCAGCCTTTTAGATGGGACTCAGTCTTTGCAATAAAATGTACTTTTTAACTCTAAACACATGCCTGTTTCTCTAAGCACATTCTATGTTTCTTTGCATGACTGCACTCGCAGAGGTACAGTTTTAAATGGAAAGGTCACAGATGAACAGGGCTGTTAATAAGGATGTGTTATCAATGTAGTACACCACAGGCTGGCTGTCTGGTGGATGAGCCCAAGCAAACAGGACAGTATAAATATCCGGACAAACTCCCAGGACAGATTTATGATGCCGACACACAGTGTAAGTGGCAATTTGGAGCGAAAGCCAAGCTGTGCAGCCTTGGGGTTATGAAGGTATGTTTCCTCATGATTTCTAACTTGCATTAAGGATGTGCCATGTGCCTGTGTACCTACCAAAAGGATAAACATTTGGTTTGCTGAGGCCAAAGGTTAGCATCTGGGTTATCTCTAAAATGTCATTTGTTTGGCATGATAATTAAGTGGTAATTTTCCTGTCAATGAATTATCCAGGCTTATCCCCCTTAGACTATGCATGCCTGGTTTAAATACCAGTTGTCTGCGTCCTTGGAAGAAAATTCCCCACTTCTTACATGCGGGCTTTATTCCTTGAAGCAAAGCTGAGAATGATCATTCGGGCTAATCATGGATTCGTTGTCTTCATGTGCTTTTAAAGTGATGTGCTTAAAATCACCATTACATTAATTAACACCACGTGCCTTTCATCATGCAAGAAAACTATTACAGCAGACACTCTCCTTGATACCAGAAAGTTGACAGTCTCTAATATTCCTAGCATGCTTTTTGCATTGACTCCTGGAAGCAAGATTACAGCAAAGATCAGTGAGAAAATACATCTCAGTGTGTAGAAATAAGAGAGGCCTTGTGCTCTGTCGAAAAAATGCATTCCTGACAACATTGCAGTCCCAACACAAATAAAATGTCCCATACTTTTAAAGTTAGTTTATTCCCAGTGTCCAGTGGAAATGTTGAAGTCTTGGGTACTTGGACTCATGAGAAATAGGAAAGTTGGGAGCTTCTCCTTTCCCTCACTACTTCCATCTCTCCCCCCTCCTCCCCCAATTGCTCCTTCTTCATCACCACCAGCAGCAACACACGTCGGCAGCAATGCTTCCGTCCTGATTACCGCCACCATCATTCCCAGCAGTTTTGCATGACCCTCTGTCCTACATGAGACATTCCACTGAAAGATTTATTGTATTTGACCTCCATCTTCAAAAACACTTTGAAGTAAAAGTTATTGCCCCCCTTCACCTACATCCCAGAGAAGGTATCCAGCTTGCCCAAAGCCACAGAACTCTTAAATGATGAAATCTAAACAAAGCAAATCACCCACATGGAAGTTAAGCCTCTGCCTCCCCTTTGTTGGATACCAGTTTCCCTTAATCTAACAGTCCAACAGCCACTGTCGTGACTTGTGTGGTATCTCTGTAGTTTTAAGCACATACTGCTTTTCATTAAGTCAGCTCACCTACAAAATAGAAGTCCATTCTGGAGAAATGATATCTATCTAGTCACTGGCTCAATATGGAGCTATATAAGTTAATGTAACTTAAAAGCATTACTACTAAAAAGCCAATCCACAGCTTTATCCTTTGGGCATATCCTTCATGACACATGGATGTTATATTATGTATTATAGGTTTTTTAAAGTGAGCAAATTTGCCTATTAAACCACAGCAGTAGGTAGAATAACCCGTTCACTGAGGAGAATCTCCTAAGCATGCCCTTTGCTCACTTTATTCCGACATCACTAGCTGTCTCAATCATCGAATATGTGCACATTGTAAGCACAGAGCGCATAATAAGTATGGTTTCCTTTAGAAATACAAAGGAGTTCCTGAATGAGTCCATTCCACAGGGATCATGCCTGGTCTGTGTCAGGCAGTGAGCAGGGCGTCAGTACCCTGCCGTAATCATTTTCTGGTGCCACATCATATTTTTAAAAGATGGTATCTCAGCCTTAGTTGACCCTGGAAAGCATAGTGAAGGGAACTGAAAATTCTAAATGAAAAGAACTGAAATGATGAACAGCTCAGGGATGTCTGGGTGTCTGGGAGGGGAGCTAGGGAGTCTGGACTAACAGAGAGATGGTTTAAGATGCCAGTGGATGGAGAAGGTGAGATTGATTGATGGCTCCTGAGTGTGGGCTTGTTTTTCCTTTGAACTAGCTTTTGGTATTTTTCTAATATTGTTTACAACCTAAATCATGGACATATCAAAATAAAAGATATTTTCTGAACAATGGAATCCCATTTTTAATTTTTTTATTTATCTTTCAGGCCTTTATTGTGCTGTCATTATTTTCCTTTTCTGCCTTTTCCCTTCAGTTTTCATTAACTTCTCTCCCTGTCATTCCTCCTAGAAAGTCAGGCTTACCTGGTAGTTAAAAGCATGCATGCAGGGCTGGAGAGATGGTTCAGGGGTTAAGAGTGTGTCCTGCTTTTCCAGAGGACCCAAGTTCAATTCCCGAACCTGCACTGGGCTCCTTATAACTTCCTGTAACTCTAGCTCCACAGAATCTGACAGCCTCTCTGGCCTCTGGAAGAACATACACTCATATACCAACACACACTTGCATGCACACATGCACACTCTGTGCCTTTAGGAGTTAGGCAGACCTGGTTAGAGTCTTATTCCAACTTTGCCTAGATTCTTGATGATTGGGCCTCCCTTGACCTATGTGTCCACACCCATAAGGAGAAGGTATTAGTTCTTCCCTGGCTAATTTGTGAGGATTGTTCTCTGGGTCCAGTAGCATCCTTCTGCATATGAGAGTTCCTCTTGACCTCTTCCTTACACGTTCAGCATCACTGCCACCAGAACTGGACTTCTTCACAGAGGCAGAGGTGTCTGAGATGATTTTTTTTTTTATGTGTGCCCACTCTCCTTCTTCTCCCAGCCTCAAATTTCACTTGCATAGCAAATAACACTGTTCTCTGTTCCTTCCCACAGTATTTGTATGGTCAGTCTGAGGGCTGTAACGAAAATTCTGAAGCAAAGCTGCATATGGAAAAAAGAGGTTGCTTTAGGCAACAGTTTAGGAGGTTATTCATGGGTGTTGCACTGATGTTGACTAGCTCTAGTGAGGGTTTTCCTAACTGTGTCACAATGTGGATGATGTCCATGGCTAGAGCATACATGAACGAAAATAATCTCACTGCAAGTGTTAAGCTGGAAAAAGAGATAGTGGAGCCATGCCCCCAGGGTGGTTTTATCCTGTCCCTACTCAGATGAGAACTAACCAGAGTTGACAGGTGAAATACCTTAATCCTTGTTGTATGAAATTTCCTGGGGAGACATAAACACATTTCTCTGCCCCCCTCCCTCAGATAGGACACTAACAACGGATCAAGGAGACCATGCACTCAAGTCCAGCTTAGTGAACCATTGAGTTTTTTAGGTTTCCTTACAGGCACATGAATGATTCAGAAACAGGGGTATCACACAACTGCCCACCTAGCATGAGTGTTCACTTGAGAAAGCTTCATCCCATCCCTAGAGCTCTCTGAGTACCTTGGAGGCAGCTTGGACAGTTGAAGAATCTCAATTGGTTATTGCTTGTGTAACCTTGGAAAAGGGCCTATGGATCTCCCAGAAAAGTATGAGTTTCCTGTAGTTCCTGACTCTTAAGAGCCTCCCTCCAGGAGAGAGTGTTTCCATCAGAAGGAAAGAGCAGCATAGTAACCCCTGTCAAGGACACTCCTTCACTCGCCTAGAATCTTCCCACTAGACCCCATTTGATAACGATGCCGCTGCCCGACATTAACACACTGAAGACTAAGTTCCCAACATATGGGTGCTGGAGGTTCAAATCACACCCAGGGCAGAGCAGTGTTCGTGAAAATGCGTTAGTAATCTGACTTAGGGTTCCATGCCATTTAGATAGACCTAAAAGAGAGTTACCTCGCTAGCAACTGATGAGAAAAACATTCATTCAATGACTATACACTTAAAAATAAATAGTTCCTGCCTAACCAACCTAATTTGATGATGTTTGTTGGGAGATCTGAAGCATGGCACAGGAGCCAATTGATGTTTGTATGCTGGTACCTTTCCTGTATTGAACATGAGTAGGACAAAGGGGATAGATACCTCAGAGTTGATTTCAGCTCAGTATCCCCCATTACCGTCACATAGCTGGGGCTCAGGCATCCATGTTGATTGGCCCATTGAGAGAATTTGAAGCCAAATAGAAATTTGGGGGAAGATATTTGAATACTAGTGAATGTTTTAGTGCCCATCATTTCAGAGAGCATTTCTCCCAGAAGGCGTTAGGATATGGGTGTATTTTTCTCTACGGATTTGACATTGGACTTAAAGAAGAGAGAATAAATAGAAAGCTTCTAGAAGCTTCTCTGTAATATATCACATCATCTTTCAATTTTTATTACCTTTCCCCAAAAGTCTACATCCCAGTTATATCATGCCCTTATACAGCTTCAAATATTCTATTTAATATTTACTTTCTTGCATGTACAAGCCCTTGTCTATGGATTTCCCATTCTAAAATACTGCATAGCCTTCTGTATGACAAACATGTAATCATTCTGTACTGTTAAAGATGTGGCCCGAGAGTTACCTCTCTTTCCCCCCAAGGACATTTAAACAGTCCTTCCTCTGGGTTCCATCTTATGTATCATTAAGGACTTGTGATTAGAAAATTTCTTAATAAAGAGAAATGAAAAAAAAAGAAATATTTAGGAAACATCTCCTTTAAAAAAAAAGAATTTGTGATTCCACATTGTGACTATCTATGCATATTTCTTGGCCCAGTTCATGTAAAATCTGCTTAACTATTTGTCTGACATAACAGTATATCCTTTGTAGTTAATTATTGGCCTTGTAACAATGGCTTCTGTTCAGTGTTTTAGGCATTCCCATTTTCGTAAAGTAGATTTTGCCCTCCTCCTCCCTCTCATCCTTCCCTTGGGGAATCATGGGTGATTTATGTGATAGGGCACCTCAGGCTGGAGAGATGGCTCAGTGGATAAAGTTTGAGAACCAGACTTGGATCCTCAGCACCCACTTAAAATCCAGGTTGTTGAGCATGGCAGCTAGCTTGTAATCCCACAGCTCAGAAGGCAGGACAGGGGATCTTTGGGTAAGCCGGTAGAACCAGTGGACCTTGTCTCAATTAATAAGTGGATTGGGGAAGATGCCCAACATGGACCTTTGGCCTCTAAATGCATATGCACACACATGCCCCTCCACATTTAAACATGCATACACACTTATGCATATCAGACACACATGTGCATGCAAAAAGAGATGCCATCTGGGTGTGCACACCACATTATATTCCCAGCATGGCCTGTCTTTGTGCTGTTTGACTAAAGGACCCACATTTCTCTAACAATCTTCTAAAGATACCTTGCCTCCAATAGAGACTATGGCTTTCCCCTCTATCTGCAAAAGGGGAGGCGCAGTTAGTGTAATACTGTACAGACTGTGTTAGCAGAACACTTGGGCCACAGATTCAGCCATAGCCCAATTCTTCTTTGTATGTAATTTTGTTTTTTTCTGGGTCTCTCTTTGTCTGACTCCAGTGTCCCGTTAAGCTACTGGTGAAAAATACATGACCTTATTGATTGTTTCCTTTGAACTCAACAGTAAGGAAATAGGAGTTAAATAATCTAAAATCACATATAGAGCACTAATAGAAAAGAAAACAGTAAGGCCCAGGCTTCTGAGTCAACATGGATTGAATTCTTGATTGTATATTTTTGAATGAACTCTTTGAACACGGAGGAAAGATACCATTGATTTATGTAGAAATGACTATATATCTTCATACACATATTTTTACCCTTGAATTCAGTAAATCCTCTCCAAGTGTTCTGTCTGACAGAAATCATAGAGATAGTTAGGACAAAAATGACTTATTCAGTAGTGTTCTTAGCTAAAGCTTGGTTGACAAGAGTTAAAGACTAGAGGCAACCTTCAGAATGATCTTTAGACAATGACAAGACAAAATAAAACAGTGTATTTATTTCATTAAAAAATAACTATACGTGAAAACATGGAGAACTAAAAGCTACATGTTGAAAAATGCCATGAGTCCATTTGATACAATCCCACTGTCCAAATGTAAGGAAAAGCATGAAAGGTGGCAGATGTCAGAATGATTGCCTCCAAGATCGGTATTTCAGAGGGTGACACTAACGTCCTGTTTTGATTGTGGTGGTGTCTACAGTGGTGTATATATTTTGTCAGAGCTTTGAGAACCATATGCTTACAATGGGTGCATATTATTGCAAATTACACCTCAGCAAACCTGATTCTTAAAGTGATGCCAATGACATGGTCTGGTGGTTGTTGCTTTTTAATTACTGCTTCCACTTAAAAGCTTGGGCAGTGAGATTAAACACAAGGTGTTTCAGCTCTAACCTAGGAGAGATTTACTGCTGAGAGCACTTGAGTATTCATCCGACATTCCCTGAGTCTCATTTTTCCCATTGCACATTAAAGAGAACAATTGTGGAGTCAATCAAATAATGGTAATGAGGGAAAACTCTTAGCGAGGGAGTAGGATTTTTGTTTCTTTTTTCTTTTCTTTTCTTTTCTTTTCAATACTGGATTGAATCTAGAGCCTCTTCATGCTTGATAAGAGCTCTCCCTTGGAAGTGTATCCCAGCAGTGCCCCTTTTCATTATGTTTTTTAGACTATTTTGTCAGAGTCTCATGCATTTTTGGAGATAGAGTCTCACTATATGGACTAGGGGGTCCTAAAACTAGGTAGGCCAGGCTGACCTCAAACTCACAGAGCTCTACCTGCCTCTGCCTCTTGAGTGCTAGGATTAGTGTGTCTTAGTTGAAGACTCCTCTTAAGAATTGCAGACTACTTACTACTAGTGAGGATGTTATCTAATTATAAAGTCAGTCATTTTAATTCATATATTGACTTGTAAAAAAATATTTATTAAAGTGTGCCTGATACCCTGCCCTTGTAGCAGTGACACTGTGTTAGGAAGGAGGATGATACATGGAAAATATTTTAAACAAACATTATTGGCGAAATGACTTTGGGATAAATAGGTTAAAGGTTGATTGCACGGTAGCTAATTAAATTTTAATTAGTAATGCTGGCATGTTGCTAAGTGGTAGAGCATTTGTCTAGCATGTGTGAAGCCCTGACATACACATACCAACACAAACTCACATACATGCATACACACACACACACACACACACACACACACACACACACACACACACACACACACGAGTTCTCAAAGGGAACTTTCGGAAATAAAAAATGAGTCACTGTTAGGTATCCAGGTCGCTGGAGATATAGATAGAACAAGATGTGCAAAGGCTTGTGTTTGGAGCAACCTGGAGGTGCTTTCAGAGGGCTGCACCAGTGTGGATAGAGCAGCTGTAAGCAGGTGTGTGGTTAGTTTTAACTCTCAACTTGATACAACCTAGAATCATCTGGGGAAGGGAGTCTTAATAAGGAATTATCTAGATCTGATTAACCTGTGGGAATGTCTATGGAGTATTATCTTGATTGTTAATTGATATAGGAAAACAGCCCACTGTGGGGAGCACCATTCCCGAGTTGGGGTCTGATCAGTATAAGAGAGGAGAAAGCCAGCTTGAGGGTAAGCAAACAATTATCCATTCATTGATTATTTCCATGATCTGACCATGGATGTGATATGACTAGCTGCTTCAAGGTCTTGATATGCTAGGGTGAACTGTAACCTGGAATTGTTATTTGCAATTCAGCTTTCCTCCTCTAAGTTAGGAGTTTTATCACAGTCAAGGAAATAAAACCATAATAGCAAGAGTTAACCTGTAAGAGATGAGAGCAGAGGGATAAAAAGGATTCAGTGACTGGCTTGGAAGGGGCCAAGAAGGACCCTGGATTTACCCTGAGCCAAGTGAGACAGCATCACGTGGTTTGAACAGAGAAGTAACATGAACTGAACTGACTGACATGGAAGAATCCCTCTAGCTCATAATGCTGGCCAGCATAACTTTCTATAATGATGGGACTGTCCTCTGCTTTTCAATATGATTGCCACATACCATATCTGACTCTTGAAGGCATGAGATGTGACCAGGGAAAAAGTCATATACAGCTACGGGCCATTGTATCAGGTAGTGCCCTGTTGAGAATTCGCTGGGTAGGGATGGATCAAAACACAATGGCTAGGCTTGTGATAAAGGGTATGACATTAAGGCACATGCAAAGTAGATGGGAACAGGGTGGTAACAATGGTATGGGAAGCATTTAGATTCAGGAGATATTTTGAAGGTAAAGTCAACATGATGGTATAGCTTTAGAAGTCCTGATGAGAGCCTGAGTATGTATACACTCTCTAGAACTTGAGTTTTCAGATGCTTTTAACATTTTCAACATGTCATATTTTACTAGAAGGAACTTGTCTTGTGGAATATAACCAGAGAACATGGGTCAGCAAATGACAGGACCCAGTACAGCCAGCGTTGCTTAAATATGTGGTCTTGTTGAGGTGGGGGGGATCATATCCAGGCAACATGAGACCTTAGGGGTCTCTGTGGTTATTTCTCTTTCTCTTAAATTATGACTTAAGTCCAGGTAATTATAGATAAGACAAAGTGGGATATGCTGAAGGGGGAAAAAGAGGGAGGTACCAGCAAAAGAGTGCAAGCTCCCCTTTTTGTTTACTTTGAAAGGGAGTTTTCTCAGAGGGTTTTTGTGGTCGTTAAAGCATGTCGTCGGCTATAATTACATTTGACTTCTGCACTTCACCACAGGGGAAATAACATGTCCGTACAGCCTGTCTCACTTCTCTCTGGAATCCCTGTGTTTTGCCTGCTCTTCTCTAGCTGCGCCTTGTCTCAGCCCTGTGGCTTGGCTTTGGCTGTGGTGTCTAGACCACCATCCCCCAACTCCTTTTTCTATTTTCTTAAGTTCTCCCCCCTTTTTTGCTCTGTGCTGGGATCATTTTGATGGCTGCTATAGGCATGGGTCGTGGCTCTCCAATGGCTGTAGGAAAGAAAGGTATTTGGTCTTCCAAGTTATGGCTTGAACTGACACTAGGATTGCAGAAGCTCACTAGCAAAATGACCTTTGTTCTGAATGGATGGAAGATGCCTCTGGCCCTTCCATAAGATTGGCACATTTTCTTGGACTGTTGCCTTGGAGACCTCTTGCTCCTCCAGTCTGACCTACTCTCCTCACATCTCTTGCTCAATAACTGCCTTCAACTCTAGAATACCTTGATATGGAAGCCCATATAGACAACAGCCCGGGTTCTGTGTGTTGAGAGGCTGTCTCCCAATCCTTTAAAATTACCTCATAGGCCTGGTGTCAGAAATAAGTTGCCATAGTACTGGCACGAGGTTAAGAAAGTGGTGACGGTGGTGAGAATCATAACGAAGACATTAGGAACTGTGTGTGACAGGCTGGATGGTCCCTGTCATTTATCCTTGAGAACATCTCTCAGAGGCAGGGAGGTCAGGCGATAGTTTTACAACTTTCAGAGCAGCAACTAGAGGAGGGGGAAAGGAACCTGTAGCTTCTGGAGTTCTAAAACATGCTGGGGACACGGACTGAGTCTGAGTTGCTTTATTCCTCTTGATCTGTTCTGTTACCCAGGCTATTGTCACTGTCGTCAGAAAACAGATCTCTTGGGCCCAGTGAGATGGTTAGGGTAAAGGTGCTTGCTTCTAAGTCTGATGACCTGAGTTTGATGATTGCCAGGACTCATGTAGTGGAAGGAGAGAACTGACTCTCACAAGTTGTTCTTTGACTTCCACATGTGTGCATTGCGCATGCGCGCGCACACACACACACACACACACACACACACACACACACCCCTACCACTTAGGGCCAAACTGTCAGTGCTCTGGACATTAACTAGTGCCACCCCCATCACTAAATACACATGAACATGCAGGGGGCACAGAGACTTCCTGTTTATCGCCTTAGTACAACAGCTTGCTCTACTGCCACCAACTTGACTTGCCTGTACTTCGAGGGGTTGGTCTGATTGCATCCATCCCCAAATAAAATACAGCACCCCAAAAGCTTTGACTGTTTGCATTTTTTGTGTATTATCAGTCTTACTCCCCACCTTTTTTTTTCCCCTTCCTTTCAGGATATTTGCAAATCACTCTGGTGCCACCGCGTGGGCCACAGATGTGAAACCAAGTTCATGCCTGCAGCAGAAGGGACCGTTTGTGGCTTGAGTATGGTAACTGTGCACTTGTTAGTCTGTAGCTCTAGAATGGTGTGGAGGTCATAGAACTGTGACTCTAGAATGGCACATATTCTTGGCTACATTTTTTTTTCTGTCTTCTCTTAAAAGTAATCAGTATTAGCAAGCAAAAATTATAAAACAGAATTATAATATGTAGACCAGTTCATTCATTTTTTTATATAGATATTTTATTTGTGTTTCTCTTTTATAGATGGGGCCTTGATTCTTAAGTATCTCTATGTCACTGAACTAATAGGCTTCATTGCATGCCATTTGTGGGTTAAACTTCATGTCCTATGAAAGAGCCCCAGGGGGCAGGTGTTCCCATTAGTAACAGAAATGTCTATCGATAAAACTTTTCATATTCATTTCTGTTGTCTTTCCTTTTCCTAGTAGGGTCTGACAGGAAAGGTACCCTTGGCATAACAATAAATGAAGCATATTTAGCAAGTCCATTTGACATACCACACTAGAATTTTGACACATAATGAGATGGTACAGGTTTGCCGATCTCTGTCATTTGCTTTCTCCAAACACTCTTAACCTGGATAGAAGAATTGGTCATTTAAAGTGATTTCAGTTCCTTAGTGACTAGTGACTACCAGTATCGGGATGAGTCTCTGAAGATACAGGGATGAGACAAACTGAAAAGTCAGTCCTGTTCTTCCAAGAACCCATAGCAGAAGCTGCTGACAACTTTCACTGTTCTTCCAACATCTCTGTCACCCGAAAGAAAAAGAATGTTGGTTGGGATTCAGTATGCACGTCCAATGAATGGTATTAAGAGTGTATACCGAGTGGACACCGGATCTTGCATTGAAGAGACTCGAGCGAGTATAGAAACCGAGGTAGAATGCAGACACATGAAACTAAAATGGGTGAAAGCCAAGTCCTTCCATCTCAAGATGTGTGTGCAAGAAAGAGGAATGTCTATGCTGTTGTACCCTGAATGAAAGGGCTTTGAGGCAGGACACTGGGGCTCACTCTGTAATTCCAGCATTCAAAAGACTGAGACGGGAGAATTGCCATGAGTTTGAGGTCAGCCTAGTTTATGTAGCAAGTTCCATGACAGCCTCTGCCAGGTAGTGAGATCCTGCCTAATAATGTCAATAATACATTTTAAAATGTGCAATGTCAATAATACATTTTAAACAGTGCAAGTCATGGCAAGTCGGCCACGTTGAATATTTGAGAAACACTAGGGATATATATGATAGATAAGATTTTATGTTATCTATTTAATATGTACATCTTATGTATAGAATTTTGTGTATGTATTGTTACTTAATCTATATATAGATTTCTATAAAGTCCCATTTGTTACACAGATTGCAAAGCCAGAGGAAGGCAGTCTGCTAGCAGCTTGACCTAGGACCAGGATGAATATTGAGATCATGGCAGCTTAGTTGTTCATTCAATGATTGAAACAGATGTAAAGAAACACTTTTTCAACAAAGAAATTAGATTAAAATTAAGGCACCTCAGGCAGTAATTTGTTTATAAGAAGCAGAATGAGCCTTGTGTAGGTGTGAAATCTAGACTCTTCTATGTGTGTTGTACTTGTGTCCCTATGAGACTGAGCAAGTCAGAATTTCCCTAAGAAGTTCTCATATGCAAAGTAGTCTTCAATTCCCAAATGCTTGAAAGGGTACTAGAAGACCCAGTACATACAGGTCTTCCCACTGTTCTCAGACATCAGAGCAACTTGGTTTTCTGTTGGCTGCTGATGCTAGTGAGACCATAGGCTATTGCTTTTTGTCCAGTGTCAGCCCAGTAGAGGCTCCATGATTCCTAGTGGGAAAGATGTGTGGTGGCAGCAGCCAAAACCCTCAGATGACTGATTGGTTCCCCACAGCATTATGTAATTTCAAACTCTGAAATGGCAATTAACCCAAGCAAAGGAAAAGCTTAAAACAGAGGGATTGACCTGCTCGTAGCAAGAATTTGAAGAAAGGAAGAAATATAACCAAGACAAAACTCACTGTCAACAAAGCTACACCATGAACAGCCACACAGCCAAATGCACCATGGGGGTAGGTAGGGGTGGTAGAGAACTAAAAGTCAAACAGTCTCCCTGTAATTCTGTAACTGAACCCCACTTCTCAGTAAAACCTGGCATCCCCTAAAGCCCAACCCTTTGGATCAAAGTGAGGAGGTTTTCAGGAAAGTGTGTGGTTCTACTAAGTCTTGCAGGACTTGCTCAAAGTGAAAACACAGCAAGAAAAAAAGCAATACTACCAGAGAACTCAACCCCTAGAGAAGAAGAAGAAATGGGGAGGGGACTAGAAAAATGTGACTTCACTGCAAAGAAGAACTAACATGGGAGGCTAACAGAGAAAACAATCCTTAGCCACCTTGTGTGAATCGCAGCCAAATGAAAGACTCAGAACAAACCACCTAAGGTGCTGAAGATCGCCAGCCATCAGCGGGTCTGCAATGGGCACCTTCTACGAATGCAATTCGTTCAGACAGAAAGTCACTAATTTCATATGAGATTAGTGTGGGGTGGTTAAATGAGACAAATCACACATGCAGTTAGCTGTGTCTCACATCTGCTTTGATAGTGAAATAATCGCAATGATCAACTCCTGAATGCATTAGAATTGTCCCATAGGTAGTACTGCCTCCAAGCAACAAGGAGGCATCCTTGTGATTCTGACTACTTGGGCCATTGCGTAGAACCTTATCTGTGTGTTTCCCCTACACAGACAGTTCACACAGCATGTACTTCTCAGAATGAGGATGGGAAACACCACTTCTCTCTACAGGCAGACTTGAAAACACAGGCAGCAGCCATGCAACCACTGAGCATTCATAAAACACAGCAAATGAGGGCTCTGCCAGTGTCACACATTGTCCCTCCTCCCTTCCCAGACCCCCTTTTCCTTTTTTTATTGTGCAGACATTTGCCTCTCCCTGCACTTTCCCAGGTGGCCTCTGATGGGAACCCTGTTGCGTGTTCTTTCTGCAGTGGTGTCGACAGGGCCAGTGTGTAAAGCTTGGAGAGCTCGGGCCCCGGCCCATCCATGGCCAGTGGTCTGCCTGGTCGAAGTGGTCAGAATGTTCGCGCACTTGTGGTGGAGGAGTCAAGTACCAGGAGAGGCACTGTAGTAACCCCAAGTAAGGCTCCAGGAAGACTTGACTTTTGAGTGGGATTTTCTTCCTTTGGGTTAAAAGCAGCCAGCCAAGGTTTTCCTGTTTACACATGAAGGCTGTGTGTACTGGGAAATGGGACAGGAAGAAGCATGGTGGGTGGACTTCAGAACACAACAGAAGAGCCCCTCTGTGTGTAAATATGATGCTTAAAGACTCCAGTCATCTCCTAACTTACTTCTTAACCTGAGCAAAGCTCTGCAGTTCTACACTTGAGCTGTTGTTCAGCCAGGACGCTTGGGGAGTGGGAAGGGTGTCTCCCACAGATGAACTGAGGTGTGTCATGATTTGTACCTTGCAGGAATAGGCTTCAATCCCTGTTGGTAGACCTGTCTGACTTTTCAAAAGATACCAGATACAAAAACACATGTGGCATTGCTAAATATTGATGATGAATTTTAATTTTCTTTAAAATTAAAACAAAAAGCCACTATGAGAACTAAAAGCATTACAGTCACATGTTGAAATTGGCCTGTGGTCACCTTTAGGGATTCTGTAGTCCCATCATTATGGAGCCTGAGTCTAGAAAAATACAAGGGCATTTAAGTAACTTTAAAAGACTCTGATTCACATGTGAGGTGAATACTTCCTTTTTGTCCTGGTAAAAAGGTCCGAGGTACTGGAGGTACAAAAACCCCAGAGAACTCACCTGCCCTTTCTTAATGCGTGACTTTGGGAAAATCACTTGAACTCTAAACTCAACGTTTCTATACAAAATGGGATGTTTGATCCATCTCACAAGACTTGGAGGAATTAGGAATAGTATCTGTAAAATTCCTCAGTGCCTGGAGAGGAGGCATACACCTATAATCTCAGCACTTGGGCTAAGCCAGAAAGATTAAGGCTAATCTGGGCTACATGGTTAGATCTTATACTGTGAGAGAGAGAGAGAGAGACAGAGAGAGAGAGAGAGAGACAGAGAGAGAGAGAGACAGAGACAGAGACAGAGAGACAGAGAGACAGAGAGAGACAGAGACAGAGACGGACAGACATTTGGATACCAACTGATCTGAAAGACAAGAAACATCAAATAGACACTCAGCAAAACATTCTGAGGGTCATGTGCTCTCATAGTCCTCATTTCAACCTCTCCAGGAGAACGGGGTCACCCAGTGTCACCCTAGAGACCTATGAAGGAAGTGGTAGCTGCTGTGTCATAACACTACCAGTGACCTATAGAGAGTATGACGGGCTGAGAAGAGTGTGGTGAGACCCTGAAAACCAGGGTTAACTTTACCACCCATCCGGGGGATGGCAGCCCATGGAGGCCAAGCACACAAGCTGTGGAGCCCAGCACCCTGCCCCTGCCCTAACCCTGCAGTACCAGCTGTGAAGCCACAAGCACTCGGTTCTCCCTTTCCCCCGGAGTCCTCGTTTATAAACACAGGGTCAGGATGGTACAAACACCAGCCATGCTGAAAGCTGTAAAGTGCTCTCTGCAAGAGGGCCCGGCATACCATAAGTACTGCAGGAACACTTGGTGAGCTGAGAATCCAAACGTAATGAAATCAGAGTAAAAAAGAAACTTTCAGAAGAGACAAATGGTACTTCATCTGAGTCAGCCATCTGAGTGCTATAAAAAGCTTTTCAATTTCTCTTTTCCAAAATACAAGGAGCAGGTTGGAGATAATTGATTAGATGGCGTGAGCCAGGCGCTTCTTCGGCTATCTTACGCTGCTCTGGAGCCAGGCTTCTCTTCACCCTTCCTGAAGATTGACTCTGGGCCTTTGCACACAGTAATGAAGTACCCCAGCCCTGAGCTAGCTCCCTTTGCAGACCCCTTTTAACTTTTTATTTAGAGACAAAGTCCTGGCTGACCATGAGCTCGTTATCTACCCCAGGCTGGCCTTGAATTTGCAGTCCTGTTCCCTCAGCCTCATAAAGAGCCGGGATTACAACCTACAGCAATGGCGGTAGTCCCAATAACCCAGAGCTTTTCAGATCTAGACTTATTGATGTAAAAGGCTGCAAAGTTCTTGTGAGTTTATCTCTTAAAATTTATTTTGCTATTTTATGTCTCGTGTGTGTGTGTGGGGGAGTGTGTGTATGTGTGTGTGGGGGGGATAGTGTGTGTGTGTGCGTGTGTGTGTGTGTGTGTGTGTGTGTGTGTGTGTGTGTGTGTGTGTGCACATGCTCATGCATGTTTGTGCAGAGGCCAGAAGGCATTTGATTTCAGGAGTTAGAGTTACAGGAGGCTGTGAGCTGCCATATGTGAGTGTTGGGTGTGGAACTCCTCTGGTCATCAGCAAGAGCAGAGTATTCTTAATTGCTCAGCATCTCCCCAGTCCCGGGGCTTCTTTTTGACAACTCAGGATCAGCATGTATGACATCTCCCACTTGATGCTAATGGGATTACTTTCTATCTCTTTACCCTCACATTACAGCAAACAACAATTTCTTCAGGCATTGTCACATATCAGTCCTAAGTGGAGCAAAACATACATTTTCCTAGGACTCCTTAGACCCAGTACCTGAATATAATAGGAGGAAGGCTTGGGATCCATTCCTGATTTATAGCAGATTATGAAAACCACATGCCTATACTTCACTATAGACAACGTCCTGGACAGTGCTCTTCAAAATCAGTGCTACTTTAGGTTTTGCAGCATGTTTCCTGGGTCTGGTTTTCATGCATGACCACATTTTATAATATTTTTATAATCTCAATATTTTCCCGAGAAAGAAACATTACCTAACTTAACAGCTCTGCCAGTAGAGTGCAGGAAAGAGACCCTTGGGATTTGAGTGAAAACCTTTCTCATGTCTATGGGATTGAGAACTCACCTTATGATAGATAACTGCTTGTGGAAATAGTGTGTCTCACTTTTCGAGATTCCTCATGAAGAATTAATCACTTAACTGTTTCTACTCGGTGGAGTTTTGTCGTGTTAAACAAGCTCGAAGATAATTGGAATACTGTCTACTTTACCTCAGGGTGAAGCCACAAATAAAACAAGTAGATGGTCAGTTAATCCCCACATGGTTGAATTAATTGTCCTAACCAGCTCTTAATTCTACTCATTGGAGCAAAGCTGCCTTGATTCTCACCCTTTCAATTCCAAGTTACTGGGTTTTTTTTCTTCCAGCTAAGTTCTGCCATTTGGTTCTGTTGGTAGCTCTCAGCTTAAACATTTTTATTTTCTCACTGGAGAAGCAGTGTAAGGTTCCCATTTCATCTACTGAGGTTCTTCCAAGGATGTGTTTTGTTTCATAAAAGAATCAAGTATGCAAGGCTGATGTGTAGACTTACCAACGTGTTTAGCCTGACAAGGGGTTAAAGGTCATCTGATTCCAGGACAGCCAACATCAAGCGTGTGTGACTGTTTCTCCTATCTGTAGTAGGTGAGTTTATTGCTTCGACATCCTGTTTTCTGTGGAGTTCCACTACACTTTAAGAGCCTTTCAAAATACGTCTCCAGGAACTTTCTCCCAGACACATTGAAACCACCCCATCAGTTCCAACCCCATGTCATCCCATTATTTCACAGATGGGCAACCAAGGGAGAAAAGAGATTCCACTCACAGCATCAGCACCTGCTTGGGTACCACACTGACAATGGCAGATTTAAAGCCAGGTGCATAGTCTTAACTCTTTGACCTTTCTCCTGGTTCCCTATCTATCAAATTATCACACTGTAACAGAGCTGTATTCCAAAAATTAACAGTGACATCCTGAGATACTCTAGAACATCCCTAAAACACAAGTCTATTCAGCAAAAAATTATAGACTATTCACTCTAGTGCCACCTAGCCAGTGGAGTTTGGGAGGAAGCTGGAGCTTCACAACAGTCATTGAACTGACTCTGGGGCCCATTTTTCTAACCAATAATTCCCAGGCTCAATTATCAAAATCAGCAGGGTCCTCTAAAAGGTGCACCAATTTCTTTGGAAGACATACAACCACACTGTGTGTTCTTATTGAAAGAGTCTGTGGATGTAAGCTCAGTTGGTAGAGTGCTTGCTTGTATGTGTGAGAATGTCCGTGGTCAGTTCCCAACACTGTGTAATCCAGGCTTAGACTACCTGAAATCATATCATTCAGGAGGTAGATTCAGGAAGACCTGCAATTCAAGTTCATCCTTGATTGTGCAGCAAGTTTGAGGTCAGAATGAGATACACGAGACCCTGTCTGAGGGAGGGAGGGGAGGAGACAGACAGACAAAGAGAATAGATGAGCATGTAAGTGAGAATGTAGAGGAAATCTTGCTATATACACATGTATCCATATGTACATTAACAGCATTCCTGCAGTGATTCTAATAGTTTTATAATAAACTGATACTACAAGCACCTGTGGTCAGGTTGACCGATGCAAAAACAAATACAGTTCTACTTTATAATGCAGTATTGTGTGCTGAGACTTTGCTTTCTGCCTCTATTTTTGTTTCTAATCCTAGAGCTCTTGCCACTCTGCAGGATGTTATGGGAAAGTTTTCTATTCACTTATCCAACCTTTCATGCTTAACACCATAAAAATCCAGGTGTGGCCGTGCAGCCCTGCAATCCATCATTCAGAGGGCACAGACAGGAAGATTCTGAGTTCAAACTCAGCTTGGAACTCCTTTTGAGACTCAGTCCCAGACAGAATAAAAGGCTGCAGGAAAATGTCCTTGAGTTGGAACATTTGGAATTATTGGAGGTCATTGCTTCGACCACTCTGACTTTATCCCATAATGAAACATGAAATCTGAGCATTCTGAACACAGAGAGCATAGTGTGGCTTGTAATTTGAGAGCATGAACAATTTAAAATATTTATAGTCTAAGTCATCTATAAAGTCAAGGACAGTAAACCAGTGCATGAACCTAAATGCACATCTACCTCGCTGTTGAAGACAGGCTGCCTAGCCACTCTGCTTACTGGATCTTTCTCTCAGTTCCCACGTGCTTCAGCAATGCCTGTCTTGCTTGGATAAATGCAGTCCTAGGTGATGAGGAAGAAAGTCTGGGACAGAGTCCAAAGATCTGAGGCTCAACTCCACTGTCCCCATGAGCTGTGTGACCTTCACTGACGTGCCGTCTGTGCCCCACCTGCCCTTTCTTCACTTCCTCTATCCGAAGAGTGGAAAGCCCTGTGAGTTCAGAGCCCTTTTCCAAGCTGCAGCTATGTAGGTTGAAAAAGTCACACACTGTGGATGGTCATTAAGCTGACTAGTAACGGGCAGTCCACATGCAGCCTATGTTTAAAATTTCAGAGAGAAAGCCTGAAGCTGAGAATTTGCCTTAATATGCTTTGTAAAGAGTATTGAGGCTGTGATAACACAATTTAGGGTTTGCTGAATGCCTTGTAAATGACCATTTGAGAAGTCTTAGGGGATCTGATTGGGTGCTACTCTACCGCATGTTTAGCCATTTGCTCCGGAATGTTTTGAAAAGGCAGGAAGATCTCATTCTGACCATGCAACTCTTTTTGTGTCTGTGAAGTTCCTCTGTGGGATCTCAGGAAGGCTTGCTAGAAGATGCTGTAGTGGATCCAGCAGTATTCTGTGACAAGCCTGGACTTCTCATGGAAACAAGGAATTTTAATCACATCCACTTATTAGCCTTGAGTCCCCTTTCAGCTTACCTGTTGGTATCAGATTTTATATGAAGCAATCCTCATTTGAGTTTTAGCTCTGGAGAAAGCTGTGGGTAGGGAGAGCATAAGGAAGGGCTTTGTGCTGAGGAGGCTTGTTGAGTGGTTAGTGTTTGGAGCAGGGTAGGCTGGGTGAGTGGTTAGTGTTTGGTGCAGGGTAGGATGAGTGAATGACACTAATTTTCAATACAATTGACTTTTTCTTCACTTTTCCTCCTGGCTTTTGAAAATCTGAATTTGCCCACTAAGACGTCTGAAGAGCTTGCTATTGAGATTATAATTATTTATATTTTTGTGAGATTCTCAGCTCTGGGAATCATTCTCTACTTCTCTTTGTGCTTGGCAGGAAAGCAGCAAGTTGCCAAAGTTAAAAAGTGGTCATGGTGGTGAAAAAGAGGCAGTGTCTCCCCTCAGAGTGCAGAGTCAATTGGAGTAAAACACCCCAGAATAGGAAAATAGCCAGAGTGCTAGCTCCAGGGCTGACAGAGCTGGCCTGGAGAACGTGGATCTTCCATTCTTTTTTCCACATGCCATGGTCTTCATGGTAGCAGGTGCACCGGAAGTGCAGGAAGATGTTTAGACTATAATGACATGGGGGTAGGGAGCCTGGAGATATAGGTTAGATCTGCATTTACAGCTTTTGAGACCAGTGCAGAAAGGTGTGTATAGATGGCACACATCTGTGGCAGAGAACATCTTACCATGTTTACAGAATCCCTGACACATGAAGTATCAAGAATACTTTTGTCATTGGTTGTTAAAGAAAGTTCTAGAATATAAAAATTAGATCAGAAACAGGAAATGAGTTTGATTTTATGTGCCACTTATAATTCGGCATAGCAGCAGCTGCCTGAAAGTATGATAAATATGATATTACAATTTTGAGGCCATATTAAGTTTCTGTGAAAACAAAAAGAGCTCTGTGATTGATTAATTGTGTCTGTATGGAAACAAGAAGGGAGTAGGCAAATTGCAGGGCATCTATTTCCAATTATGAAATAAACTAGATACGACTGCCCATAGTACAATACTTCCCTCAATTGTCCCTTCTTGCATTATTGTATGTGGCTGAGAGTGAGGTGTTTGGTTCTAAAATTCCTGAATTCTGTTTTTAGGCCTCAGTATGGTGGCAAGTTCTGTCCAGGATCTAGCCGTATCTACAAACTGTGCAACATTAACCCTTGTAGTGAAAACAGCTTGGACTTCCGCGCCCAGCAGTGTGCAGAGTATAACAATAAGCCCTTCCGGGGATGGTTGTACCGGTGGAGACCCTATACCAAAGTCGAAGGTAACTCAGTCACTATGATACTCCGGCATCTCTCTGTAGATAATATGTAAACTCACAACACAGGAAGAGATCTCTGCCCATGTTAAAGAGTTTTCATGTTTATTTTCTATTCTCCAGACTTGTCCTGGTTCAGTGTTTCATCAACTTTCATAGGTGTTTATTTTTGCAGTCTTTTTTTTTTCTTCCCAGAAGACACCTCTTGTCTGTGAGTGAAAGGACCTGTGTGTTTGGAATGGACTTATATTTCTAAATGTACCATTGACAGCTTGGTGATTTTTGTTTCCCAGAGATGTTAATTGAAATTGGTATGAGTTGTCCAGACTGAAAACTTGTGAAACCATATATGCCCCATAGAGACAGCATATTTAGGAAGGGACATGTCAAATGATTGCAAGTACAGGAAGATTTTTTTTTTTGTAGAAAGAACATATGTCTGTGCACAGAGAGAAAGGGGGGGGGCGAGAACAAAAAATTATACTGGTCTCTTCATATTTATTATAACAAAGTTATAGCTTACATTTAACTTTTTAAACAATAACTGTAAATAGAGATAAGAGGGTGGTGCTTTGAGACAATGTATCATTCTTTAGCTCAAACTAATTTGGAATTTACTATGTATTTCAGGCAGGACTATCCAGCTGCTTTAGACTTTTTAAAATTAATTTGTTTTTCTCTTGGCAAAATAACTAAACATTTATTTTAGTTGCCATGGAAAAGTTGGTATACTTTCTGTCACCCATGCTGGATGATCTGTCACTAGTCTAACTGTGTCTTGGCAATTATTGTATTGTCCTGGCTTATCACTTTCTTGGTTGTGCCTCTTGGTTGCATACATGTGGAAGGAGACACGTGGTGTTTTTGACAATTGATGGACTATTCTAAAAATGAAACTGTGTTGCCAGTTTCCATCAGGAGAGTTTCTGTAATTTAAGAACTATAGGGACCAGCCTCACCTGATGTTAACAGCAGGTAGCATAGCTTTAAACAAAACCTGCCTGGATGTTCCAGGAGTGCTGACTCTGTACTCAGGACTGTCTGTCAAAAGCAAAGGCAAATGAGAATGTTTAGAAAGGTGTGTCTCAGGAGAAAACAATGGGAGGCCTGTGACTGTTGACTATAAAAAAAAAAGAATGTAAGTTTTAAAACATTGAAATCAAGGTGTGTTAGATTTTCTTGAAATTGCTTCAAAGAATACATCTGTTGTTGTTATTTTAACTCTTTTTACTCTTTGGGGGCCTACCACCCAGCTCCCAAAGAAATACATGGAGACTTACTCTTTCTTATGAATGCCCGGCCTTAGCTTGGCTTATTTCTAGCCAGTTTTTCTTATCTTAAATTATCCTGTCTACCTTTTGCCTCTGGGCTGTTATCTTTCTCTATTCTATATATGTTTTTTTATTTCTTACTCCGGGGCTTACTGTGTAGCTGGGTGGCTGGCCCGTGGTATCCTCCTCTAATCCTTCTTTTCTCACTCCTCCATCATCTCTTCCCAGGTTTCTCCTTCTATTTATTCTCTCTGCCAGCTCCACCTATCCTTTCTCCTGCCTTGCTATTGGCCGTTCAGCTCTTTATTAGACCAATCAGGTGTTTTCAGCAGGCAAAGTAGCACAGCTTCACAGAGTTAAACAAATGCAACATAAAAGAATGCAGCATATCTTTTCATCATTAAACATAGGTTCCACAGCATAAACAAGTGTAACACATCCTCAACTACTATTCCACAATACACATCTATGTAAGATCTCAGAATGTCCAAGGACCTCAGCTTCTCAGAGAAGCCTAGCCAACACATTCTTTTGTCACTTTTATTCTCTAAAGCCTTTGTCCTGCTTTAATCTTAGCATGAGTTTACTTTTAAATTTTTATTTTTTATTTTTATCCTGTGTATAAATATTTTACCTGCCTGTATGTTTATGGACAGATCCCTTGGAACTGGACTTACAGACAATTGTGAGCCACCATGTAGATGCTGAGAATTGAACTCTGGTCCTTTCCACTTACTGCTCTTAATGACTGAGCCATCTTTCCAATCTCAAGTTTACTTTATTTGTTTGTTTGTTATCTTCACAAGAACTTCAGGTCCACAAGGGCCAAGCCTTGGTACATCTTCAGTGGGTTTTGTGTCCATAGCATCTAAGCAGGCTACTTAGTCTATACTTAAGGACTAGTTTGGGGAATTTGTTGTTGCCTTTTTTTAAAGGATACAGAGTATCACTCTGTAGCCCAGACTAATCTATAATTCTCAATCCTCCTACTTTAGTCTCTTGAGTCCTTGGATGACAGATGTGTTACCATACCTGGCTTTAATAGCTGTAATTTTTTTTAATGGATGCGTCAAAGGGACATATGATCCCCGTATAAGTGATAAGTTCTCTATCAGTACAGGCGTTCAACTGGGGGTGAGTAATGAACAGAGAAGGACACTACCCAACAGGTTCCAGCAGACAGCAGATGGGATAGGCCACACTGCTATTTCTAACATCCAAAACTGCATTTTCTCTTGTGTGTGCACTCCTGCAACCTCAAGTTTCCCATCTATACTTCTTTCTCTGAGACTGTGTCCTTCTCTTTGCTGTCTTCCTGTCCTCTGGATTCTTGGGTGTTCCTTGGCCTTCACGTGTGACTCATTATCTGTAGCACTAATGCATTCTGTTCTGTTGTTACCCACTAAGCAGGTTCTGTGTTGGAATGCAATGGGAATGTTAGGAAAGTCTGTAGCTGGGAAAATGCTTTGGGCTTCAGTGTAGCTTCACTATTGCATGGCAGACTTTGGTAACAAGAGAGTGTGCGGTTTTAGTCACTCACTCTGTGAGAATTTGCTGCCTCAGGAGCTCCTGTCTGCCCATAGTGAGACAGCACAGTTAGGGCTTTTGTTCTCACCTCCCTCTCCAGAAGAAACTTAGAACCAGAGGAGACTGACCACTATTTGAAAGTCTGGCACATTCCTACCATTTAAGACCAGGCGAAGGCCAGGTGGAACAGCACACACGTGTAATTTCAGCACTCGGGAGGCTGAGGCAGATAAGATGCCCTCGCTTGCTTTTTATTACTGTGATAACCATCCTGAATGAATGAAAGAAACTTGGCTGAGAGGAGGGTTTGTTTCATCTTATACTTCCAGATCCCAGCCCATCCTCTAGAGCAGTCAGGGCAGGACCTTAAGCAGAAACCCTGGAGGAGCACTTTTTACTGGCTCTCTCTAGCTCATGCTTAGCTGGCTTTCTTATATTGCCCAGACCTACCTGCCTGGGGAATGGTGCTGCCCACAGTAGGCTAGGCCCTTCCATATCAATCTCCAATCAAGACAGTCTCTGGAAGACATGCCTATGGGCCAATCTGATCTGAGCAATTCTTCAGTTGAGGTTTCCTCCTTCCAGATGACTCTAGGTCATATCGATTTCATGCTTAAAAGTAAGCAACACAGAGGGTATGGGTCAGAAGCCAGCTTGGGCTACTGGAGTGAGACTCTCTCAAAAACAAAGCAAAACCAAAAGACCAGGGGAAGGCTTTGTCATAAATGGAGATCATCTCCCCCTCAGCGGTGAACTTCTCTTTTATCTTTTTCATTCTGTTTTTGAAGGGCAAGGTCATGTCTGGAAATCTGTACTAGACAAAAAAAAAAAAAACTTTTATTAGAAGTTTTCAAATCCTGGGACTGGTAAAGAAGAGAAAAGACACATACATACATACACACACGTGCACACACACAAGCACACACCCATGCACACACACCATCCAACTCCTTAATCTCATTTATAAGAATTAGAAGATATTAAATAAAGTTGTTATTTGAAAAATAAAAACATTGTGGTTGAGAGAAAAACATTTTATCCACCCACACAGCTACATATTTTGACCACAGTAATATTTTTCTCTCATGGTTAAGTTTTAGTTTTGCCTTCTATTGAAGGGTTTTGTGAAGCAGGACTGTTTGCGAACTGTTTACACATCTGGGTGAAACTGTTGTTAGGGATATCACTCAGTGTCGCCTACGGAAGGTCCCATGTGAAAAACGTCATCTGGAGCTGCTGGCCAAGGACTGCTGTCTCCATCGAAGGAATTGGCTGTCTTACTCCTTCCAGATAACGAGAGCTCTATAACTACATTGTTTTTTCTTTTTCCTATGATACTAGAAATTTCTCAGGAGATTAATGAACAACACAAAATACTTTTTTTAGCCTCTAGAATTAGCTTATTTGCCCTTTCTATTAGTGACATTTTAATCTGATTTTTTTTTTTATAAACATGGTTGACTACATGCTTTTGTTTTCGAGGTGTATCAACTTGACCTTTTCACAGGCTGTATAAATATCTATAGGGATCCAGTCCCAAACCAAAATCATCAGACTATATAACCTAAACTGTTGGTAAAAATTAAAGTTTCATTAGAACACAAAGATACTCTTCCATGTATCTGCTGTTATTCATTAACTTCAGAGACCACAAAGTCGATAATACTTAGAGTCCCGGGAGGCTGGCTGCTCAACCCAGCAATCCTGTACATGGTGATGATTCCTAAAGATTAGGAATACAAAATTCTTAGGTATCAAGCCAAGCATGGTGACACACACCTTTCATCTCAGTACCTGGGAGGCAGAGGCAGGTTGATGCCTGTGAGTTCAAAGTTATCCAGGTCTACATTAGACAGCTCTAGGCCAGCCAGGGCTGCCCAGGGAGACTCTCCCTCAAACAAAACAAAACACAGCCCACAATTTTTTGGTATCTGCTGTGGATGTCCTTCTGTGTGCTATGAATATGTGTTGCTCTGATTGGTTGATAAATAAAATGCTGATTGGCCAGTAGCCAGGCAGGAAGTGTAGGTGGAGTAAACAGACAAGGAGAATTCTGGGAACAGAAAGACTGAGTCAGCAGATGCCAGCCTGCCATCCAGGGAGCAGCATGTAATGGCACACAGGTAAAGCCAAGGAATACATGGCAACATATAGATTAACAGAAATGGGCTGAGTTTAAATGTAAGAACTACTCAGTAGTAGGCCTGAGCTAATGGCTGAGCAGTTTTAATTAATATAATCTTCTGAGTGATTATTTTTAAGTGGCTACGGGGTCCATGGGGCTGGGCAGGACCAAAGAAAACTTCAGCTACAGGTATCAATATTTAATTGGCTTTTTATAGACTACCAAATGGAATTTGTCTTTTAAAAGATACATACATGTGGTCTTCTGCACACACACACACACACACACATCACACACACACAGGCACACTCACAAACAAAATTATATAGAATGTTACCTTTGCTCCTAATAGCTTTCCAAGCCAATTTCATTGCTCTGTCTGGTGGCCATACTGCTTTGCACACGGGCTAGTCTTGACTGAGCCCTCCTTTTATCTCCCTGCCTCTAGAGGAAGATCGATGTAAGCTCTACTGCAAGGCTGAGAACTTCGAGTTCTTTTTCGCCATGTCCGGCAAGGTGAAAGACGGGACACCCTGTTCCCCACACAGAAACGATGTCTGCATCGACGGGATTTGTGAAGTAAGAGGACATGTCTGCTCCAGGCTGTGCAGTCAGGCTTGGTCTCCCATGTGCTGTGAAGATGGCTGAGAAAGTTCCTGTAGTATACACTGGGAAGATGGACCAAGTGTCCAGCTGCCATGCGTACCTCTGAGGTCCTCTTTCGAATGACCCCTTTGTTTCCTGCTTCAGCCACTTCCCAGCCTAGGGGGATGGTGTGCAGGTTGCAGCCAACTTTGCATTGCTATAAAAACACTGACGGAAATAATGATGTCTCAGCACCTGTTTACCAAGCACATTCCCCACATAGCAGAACCTCAGAAGTGCAATGGGGACAGAGCTGTCCTCTCTTTACAGTTCTCTCTTTCCGGACTCACTGTCCCTTGCACTTAAACTTCACTGTGAACACTTCATCCTTTTCCACGGTATGCGTGTGTATGCTTATACATGCTCGGGTATGTGCATGTGTATTTATATGTGCTTATGTGTGTTTGTGTGTACATGTGTGTCTGTGCTTATTTGTATGCATAGGGATGTTTGTGGGGGTGTGTGTATAGGTGTGCACATGTGTGGGTTCATGCCTGTGTGTGTTTGTGTGTGTATATGTGTATATGTGCATGTGTATGCATACATATATGTGTGTGGAGGGAGTCTGAATGTATATCGCTCAGCGTTTTTATGCTTCATCCATACAGTTGGCCTATCTGGTAATAGCCTGTGACTCTTCACTCTAGTTTCAGAGAGGTGGAGTCTAAGCCTTAGATCAACTGTGCAATGTGATCAACTATGCATTTGCTTGAAGAGTAAGAGCCACTTTTCTTAGAGGGAAGTTGGCCACCAGTAGATTGCCCAGGGTCCCGGGAGTTGACCCCCCCACACACCTGTGTGCATATAAACAGCACTCATTAGAGTCAGCAGGTTAAAACAATAATAGCATACTGAGAAAAAGGCATAAAGTTAAGAGTGAGATGTATGAGGGACTTCCAGGAGAACTGGAGGGGACAGGGATATACAGAATCAAAATACAGTGTACACATGAATGACATTTTTCGAAGAATAAAGTATTATTTACAAAGAACGGAAAACTTTGAGTCCCGGTCTGACTTAACGGTCCAGCTCCCCACTTAGCAGAGCTGCCTGCCTCCTGTGAGTCTTCATCGCTGGCTTTGCTCATCTTCGATTTCTTCCCTTGCTTTTGTTCGCCACAGCCAGTGGGATGCGACCATGAACTTGGCTCGAAGGCAGTTTCAGATGCATGTGGTGTTTGCAAAGGTGACAATTCGACTTGCAAGTTCTATAAAGGGCTGTACCTCAGTCAGCACAAAGCGAACGGTAAGAGCCGCTGCTGTTCCTCATCTCATCCGTCTCTGAACGGGGAGGGGACCGTGGTAATCTCATCCTAGCTCACCTGACACCAGTGATAGCTTTTGCCACATGGCAAGTTTCTTAGGGTGAGCAGTTTCATCTATGCATTGTACTTCAGAAGTATGTTGAGTGCACCACAAAATGGCTCAGCAGAGGAAGGCACTTGCCACCAAGCCTGATGACCTGAATTCCATCCCCAGAACCCAAGGGGAAAGGGAAGAACTGACTCTCAAAAGTTGTCCTCTGGCTTCCTCATGCATGCCATGCCGACACATGGGTACCTACACACACGTGCACTCGTACATGCATGTGCATTCATGCACACACAGACACACACACACAGAGAATAAATCTTCAAAACAAGAAAATGAAATTATTGATCTTTTTACTTAATAAAATAGGGGTGAATAATCTCAAAGCCTCCATCAAAATGGGCACTGCACACCTCTGGGCATTTCTAGTCACTGTTCATTCTCCAGTCTACCGTGTATTAAACTCAAAGAGATTCTTCTCTTTCCATTCAGAATATTATCCTGTGGTCACCATCCCACCTGGGGCCCGCAGCATTGAGATCCAGGAGCTGCAGCTTTCTTCCAGCTATCTTGCTGTTCGAAGCCTCAGTCAAAAGTATTACCTCACCGGGGGCTGGAACATCGACTGGCCTGGGGACTTCACCTTCGCGGGGACCACGTTTGAATACCAGCGTTCCTTTAACCACCCGGAACGCCTGTTTGCACCAGGACCCACAAACGAGACGCTAGTCATTGAAGTAAGCTTGATTCTGATGCTGATGCCCCCTGTGGCTTTGAAAGCAATGGCTACAACTTGGGCAAACTCAGAGGACTCCCTTTCAGCTCATTGCCGAACAGGAGACCATTCTGAGTGCAAGGAGGGAAGGGCAGTCAGCAACTCTATTTTGAGGAACTGGAGACAGAAGTCAGATGTGCCTCCAAAAGGCTTCCATGTTTACATTCGCTAGCCTGGGAGTACCCAGGAATAGAAAGGGAATACTCATTAGACAATTCTATGCTGTGTCTGCCATGCGGAGAGTCCATTGCAGCTATTCCCAGCATCTGTCAGCTAGCTGGCCCAGGAGAAGGCTTTTTAGTAGAGAAAATGCTGACTTGAGTATCAGCAGGAGTTTAGTCATAATTTTGTAGGTTGTAGCTTCCCCAGAGATTTAAAAAGGAAAGAAAGCAAAACATATGAATGGGCAATAGAAGCAATAAACACAGCCAGCATTTCTCTAAATAAGTATGCAAGATTGTTATCATACGCACATTTCCTTGAGTCCTCTGGGTCTGCTCTCTTCCTGTTTGCAAAAGGGAGCTGATGGTTTGCTCTGGAAGGACTGTGATTTATTTCGGTATGTGTACAAGTGACAATGCTTACCATTTAACAAACACTCGCATAACCAGGTGTTCCTGTTAGTCATTTTTCACTGCAGTTTATTACCCACACAATTAGAGTAGAAAGCTTACTATCGTTCAGATTTCTGTGACTGTCACTAAATACCTGAAGTAATCAACTTACACACAGAAAAAGTTCGTTTTGACTCGGAGATTTGAAAGTGCCAGACTGTGCTCTGTTGGCCCTGTTGCTCTCGCTGTGTTCGAGGCAACATCGGGAGTATTTTGTGGAAGAAGATGGCAACCAGGAAGTGAAAGAGAAAGGAGAAGGGTGAGGCCAGAAAATCCCACCAAGGATTCTTCTCCCCCAGTGACGTAACAGCTTCTGACCATGGTCTACCACTTTCAGGTTTTGCACACACCACCACCACCACCCAGCAGTGTCACAGGCTAGTGACCAAGTCTCCAACACATGTAAAGATAGGGGCTTGAGCATGAGAAACAGTTAATAGCTTCCATACCCTGCATAGCCAGAAGAAAACAGAGGCCAACTTGAGTCCACATCTTCTCCATCCAGGAGCATGAACTCTTTGCCACAGTCCAGCTCCACTGCTCGTCTCTGCTCAAAGAAAGCAGATCATATGACGGAGCTGCTTCTAACACTGTTCTTAAGGCTGCTGTGGACTCTGTCTTCCTGTGGTTAGGCACTGTGCTAATAAGTTCTGTGAATTAGTTTCTCTTTTGGATTTTGAGGGAGACGATGTATATGTGTGTGTGTGTGGGGGGGGGGGGTTGATGCATGTTAAGCCAGTGTCTGTACATGACACATGTGAGAGCATGCATGAGGTGACCACAGGTCAACCTCAGGTGTTCTTTCTCGAGTGTCATCCATCTTTTTTTTGAGACAGGCTCTCTCACTGGCCTGAACGTTGTGAATTAGGTTAGGTTGGATAGCCAGCAAACTACAAGGACCCATTGCTCTGCCTCTTCTGCTCAGGATCACAAGTGTGTGGCACCATGCCCAGCTTTGTTTATGTAGGCTCTGGAGATGGAACTCATGTCTCCATGCTTGCCTGGCAGACACTCTACCAACTGAGCTATAGCCACAGCCCTTTATCATCTGGTTTCTTGAATGTCCACAGCACCTCATAAAGTAGGAGGGGTTTTGAGACCCCTTCTACAGATGAGAACACTGAGCCTCCCGGAACTTGTGTAACATAGAAGTGGTGGGACTGAGAATGGAGCTTGGGTCTTTCTAACTCTGCTGCACATGGCCTTACCCCACACCAAAGATGCTTGAAAGGCCTGGCCACTCGTGCGGTAAAGTTTTCTCAAGGCAAATCTGTACCACTTGATCTAGAAGTTTCAGAAGCTCTGGAGAGGTGGGGAGCTGTGGCAGTAGATAGCTGAGCTGCTAAGAGACAGTTGCTACCCAGATTTTTTATTTTATTTTATTTTATTTTATTTTATTTTGGTTTTTCGAGACAGGGTTTCTCTGTGTAGCTTTGCGCCTTTCCTGGAACTCACTTCGTAGCCCAGGCTGGCCTCGAACTCACAGAGATCCGCCTGGTTCTGCCTCCCGAGTGCTGGGATTAAAGGCGTGTGCCACCACCGCCCGGCTCAGATTATTTTTAAAACATTTAAAATGAACTCAGGGCCTTGCGTGTGCCAGGCATGTACTTTACCTCTGTGCCACAGCCATGGCCACCTTGTCCACACTTGAATCCACACGATCATTGCAATATACCCAACAGCCATAAACCAGTCGTAACTAGAAGGCCGCTATGAAAGCTTGACTGATGGTTTTTGCCTAGGATCCTTATTTCATTCTCTCTGCCTGGTAGGTATTTAATCTATTTGCATTATTGTATCCTTGGCATGCTTGGGAAACCACTCTACACTTACTTCTGCAGGCTTCAGGATACTGAGTCCCCCATCCTCTTAGGGTACTTTGGTCAACTTTGTGACTGGCAAAGCTGTTTCCAGAGGCAGATTCTTCCTCTATAAACTGAAACTGCCCATTCATTTTCCTCATTCCAGGCTCAGCAGGATGAGATCATACTGCTGTGGGATGTGGGTGGTGACCGTGTGCAGCTTCTGATGGTTCCATGGTGAAAGCAGTGAGGACGGATTCCCCTTGCCCTGAGTGGGAGTTTGGATGCCATGTGTGATGAGTTATTCTGAGTGAATTTACATGACATCTTGATGTTTCCCTAATGGATTCTTAGACTTGGCAGAACTGTAGAAGGCTGAAACGTGAAAATACCCAGTGTGTTAAGCAGCTGTTACTTCCTCTGTATTCTACACCCTGAGCATAGACTTGGTTCCTCACTTGACTGTAGACTAGATGCAAGTATACAGCTGGGGGTAAAATGATAAAAAAGATGAAGAGAAAGAAAGAAAAAAGGAAAGGAAGGAAGGAAGGAAGAGAAAGAGAGGGAAGGAAAGAAAGGAAGGAATGGAAGAAATAAAAGAAAAGAAAAGAAGAAAAGAAAATAGAAGAGAAGAACCAGCAACCCTCCCTGGTATTATAAAACTTAGCATACTGCAAAGTATAGAGCAGTGTTGTATTATCAGCGAACACTGACTTTGGCAAGCTCCCTGAAGGAAAATAAATCTAAAGGAAGCAAATAGAGGCTGTCTCTAGCTTTAGGGGTTGGTAGAGAAGAGCCGTCTAATGTGATAACTGAAGCAGGTGAATGACCAGCCAAGTGCACAGGAACTTCAAGACAGGAATTAGTTAAGAATGATCTTAATGCCGGACAGTGGTGGCACACGCCTTTCATCCCAGCACTTGGGGGGCAGAGGCAGGTGGATCTCTGTGAGTTCGAGGCCAGCTTGGTCTACAGAGTGAGTTGCAGGACAGGCTCCAAAGCTACACAGAGAAACCCTGTCTCAAAAAAAAAAAAATGAACTTAATGCTTCAGACTGAGAAGTTGTTAACTCCTAATTCCCATCTAGCCAGAGTATAGTTAGGAAAAGAATGTCCTGAGGTGTGAGTGGGTACAGCAGGGAAGCAGAGAACAGAGAGACATAACCCACAGTGAGGAACATGGAATTCCTGCTAAGTCAGTGTCCAGATCTTACTGAGGTGGATGTGTTAAAAACTCACTCCAGCTGCTGTGTAGAAATATGATTTGAGGGTCACAAAGTGAACAAAGGAAGGAAATGAATTCTTCTCAAATTCCAGATAAGAAATTCTAAAAACTGAAACAGAGAGGATGAGCATGAAAGAAGTGGACCTGCTTGTAAAATATCAGAAATTTAGATAGAAAGTGTGAAGGGAGGTTCTGGAGATATATGGGATATGGACTTCGAGGGAAAACACAATATTGAGAATGAACCTCAGCTTCTTCCTTGAGCCTTTGGTGGGTGTTTTTATTACTGTAGCTATCTTGATGATACCTTGAAGTGGGGCTAGGGGTAGGGGGATGCTTCCATTTCTAGCCTCCTCTTATTCAAGATACATCTTCAGTACTGAAGAAGCAGCTATGAACAGGCAGTGGGGGGTGCAGCCAAACAGTATTGGAATGAATGTGTATCAGATCCTGCAAACCCTGGAAGTGATACCTTAACCGTCGGTCAACAAATCACAGGGTAGAGGTCCCAGTTTTCTCTGATGAGCTGCCTCTTGGGACAAGCTAAACCATTGCCTTATCAAGACTATGCTTCACAAAGGTATTATAGAACAGCAGGTGACACCACAAATGAGCTGACACAAAAGGTGTGTGTTCGCCTAGACCTTGACTCAAAGTTGTCACTGGATTTTGTATGTAAATCCTCTTCTATTGTTATGCTGGAACCTTGTCCTGTGCTTTGGCTCTGTACCTGCCTGGACAAGAGTGGAGATTTCCACAATAGGGATGACAGCATTCTAGCTACTCTTTCTCTGACTGCTCCAAGTTGTGTGTGTGTGTGTGTGCACGCGCGCGTGCACTTTTTTCTGGATTCTAAGGTATTTAAAATCTGTACATGAATCCCACACTCCAAATCTCTCTGTGTTCATTTTGGAGCAGAGTAGCCATCCCAGATATTCCCTTGTTTCTGCAGGCTGCCAGAGAATACTGTTTGCCATGTGTCCGTTTTGTAGTTTCAAGACCATGCAATCGGTTTGAGGTTCAGGATCTCAGCATCCCCTACAGTTATTGAAGTCTATTTGTCTATTCTGGGCACCTTTTGAATCATGGTGGTGCAGAATAAAGGTGCAGCCTCCACACACCCTAGTCTCACTTTTGTTACTGTGATAAAACACCCCGAAAAGAGCGACTTGTGGGAAAGGGGTATTTGTCTTCCAATTCCATGTCATAGTCCATCATTGGGAAGAGGTCAAGGCAGGAACTAAGCAGATGGTCATCACATTCAAGAGCAGAGAGAGAATAAAGTAATGAATAAAATAAGAATAAAATACTCAGCTTACTTT